GGCCTCCGCCACTCCCTCATTTAACATAGTCATACATGTTCACATCTTTGGTATAGGCATACTTATGTTTAGAGCTTGTGCAAGCTCTAAACTGAAGTGTCCTATCTAGAACATCAAAAATCCTGTGGGTGCCTATACACACATGCCACTTCTTATATACTGGTCCTGAGTAAGGCGTATTTCAGGCAATCTATTTTTATATAAGTATATATATATATATATATATATATATATATATATATATATATATATATATATATATTTCAAATTTTTATTTAATTATATTTAAATTAGATTTGAGACCAAACATGACTTAATTTTGAAATATTTGATAATATTAGAGATTCGTTAAATGTATAGGCACCTCTAAAAATGTTTTTAATAAAAAAATAATAATTTCAGATTTAATTTAATATATGTTTACAATAACATTAATCGCATGAGTATAAATAAAATTATCTTTATTACCTTGTTATATTAAACTCAATTTATTTTCCTAAACTGTTGGCTAATAATTCATAAAGCAAACTTCAAATCATGAAAATTTCTTAAGCTTAAAACATACTTTAACATTAGGAAACCAAAAATAAAACAGTAGAAGTATTTGTATATTAATAAAGGTACAATTAAAAAAATGAAAATAATTATAATAATTAAAATTATTTATAGTAATTAAAAATAATTATATAAAAGATAAAACATTTTGTAAAATTAATTTTATTTAAACTAAGTAAAGCAAAATTTGTTAAAAAGTCACACATTTTAACACAGATTTAATAGCAAATTGCTAACAATTATAGTCAAAGAAAAATAACACTTTTGTTTAATTTCTGTCAAAGACCTGCTTTTAATCCTTGAATAAGTTCGCTGTAATATTTTTGACCATACGTTTTGAATCTAATGGTTAAAAATCTAGCAGCAATTTTTTTTATCAATTAAACAACATGTAAGTCTTCGTTACAATGATCATAGTCAAAGTGATCATCCAGCGTTGGAAAAATATTAACATAAGGTGAAAGTTTACGTAAAACCACACTCAAAATAATAACATTAATGTTCTGCTTAGCAGTAATTGTAGTTGAACTTGAGCCACATACACTAACTTTAAAAGCTTTTTCACAAATTTCAACTTTGACATCACCTGAGGATGGAAAAATCAACCCTCCTTTATTTTTATGCACAATAAAACTGTGTATGTGTCCTATTGGTAATGTATTACCATAGCTAAGATGGTCATTGACTGAATATATGACATAATTCCAGTTGTTGTTAATGCTTGGGGAAAAATTTTGCACTCAATACTGTGTAACAAATCACGAACAATAGACCCTGCAATGTAGCATAATACAGCTTGTTGAAACATGCTTATGTTTTCCTCGTCTAGTTTAAAAAACAGTGATTGAAGAAATGGCTGCTCATTGAACTCGATAGCTTGTACATCTTGTAGTGGTGTTCTTTGACGTGACCATTTCAGATTGAAAAGTTGGAGGTCAGATGTACAATCTAAAATTGAACAGTTTGCATTTCTGCTGGGAGCAATACTATTGTGTATCAGTAACTCTGTCTCATTGAAGATTTAAATTGCACAATATTAATATTATTAAATCCGTTTATAAATATTATAAAATCATAAATATTATTAAAACCATAAATATTATTAAATCCGTTTTTTCCACGTATGCAAGCAAAAGTTAGCTCAAGATGGTCCTGTGATAACTTATAAGTTAATAAATACTTTAATGGTTCAAAGGAACGGTTAAATAGATCAAGAGCTAAGCTCTGTATACTTACACATTTGTGACAAGTCCAATAACACATGTTTTACGACGATGTGAAGCCAATAAAGGTCCATTTTTGCTGTTATCTGTACGTAGAGACAGCAGATATGCAATGCTGCTACTAAATGCTTGCATCCAGTATCTACTATTGCTAAGTTTAAGGGGTTGCTTAAACTTTTTTGCAAATGCATTTTTAGAGTTCATAATGTCAAATAAACGATCAAAAACACGTATAAAATTCACAGCACCTTTTGCATCCTTAAACCCTTTCACATTAAACTTCATCAAAAATTCTATTGCATCTGCTACTGATGAGCTCAATGTTTGACTGGCAACTTTTACATTCATTTTATGTTGTTGGAAGTGTATATGTCTGTTGCCAAGTTTGTTGCTAAGTGTCAATCCTTCTGTTTTTTGTAGTTGACACAAGAGTACAATGTGTTCCCATTTAATGATATGACCATTATTATCATACAACACACCAATATCAGCAAGAGCATTTCTTGCCAATTTAAGCATATGGCATGCATCTAATATAGCATAAACAGGCCTGTTAGAAGATGTATTGTAAATCTTGGAGTAAAACTGATCTATTGTCAATCCAAATTTACAACCCAATTGTTGTAAGCAATCTATATTCACAGGACTTCTATCACCCGTCAAAGTGTGAACTCTAATGTTACTTGATTCACACTTTTGCAAGCAAGTCTGAACCAATGCTTTTAAATTATGCCCTGTCAACCTATGAATAAGTACATAACCAACTGGATATTTCCAATAACTTTGCAAACCAACAGTCAAAAATACAAGCGCTTCAGTTGCGATATTATCATCAGATTCCACACTTATTCCTCCGAAATCTACAAACCCAATAAATTTGCCAGATAGTTCATTATAGATTGTATTTGCTTTAATATGCATAGAATCCATTATTAAAGCTGCATCTCGATACATTACATCATTTTCAGCACGCACTTTCAATTCATCAAACACAGCATTATTAAAACCAGGGTCAAAACTCACAGATGATGTCCAATTGGACAATGAACTTGGTGCAGGCAACTTAAAAACTGTAGTAAGCACGAGTTGAGTAAAACTGAACAGTTAAAGCGAACTTTTTAACTTCTGAATATCGTCTGCCTGTTGAATCTCTTTTTAAATTTTTAATTTCATTTGTAAACATATTAGCTGTAAGTCCTGAAAAATTTTCATTTAAAAAATTTGCTGCGTATTTACAAATCCATTTTTTGTTTTTAGAAGATTTAATAACCTGAGATAAATTATTAATCTTCCTTGATTTGCGACGACGCAATTTTTGTTGTAAACACTTAACTTTTTTTTTCAGAAGCTGTTCGTTTTGTGATTCAATAAGCTGTTTCTTATGTTCTGGTTCATGTATATTATTGTCACCTGATGAGCAAGCATTACTTGTTGGGTAATGTTGCAGAATAGACACGTTAAATAAAATTATCTTTTAGCTTTATGCGCTCTCGTTCGTAGATACTTAAAAAATTCTATTAAATGAAAAAAAATTCTATTGAAAAAAAATTCTATTGAAAAAAAATCTATTGAATTGTATTTATATCAATAATAAAAAAATATAGTTTTGCTAATGTGTTTTTTAAAAATATGTGGCTATGAAAATAGCCGTTTATGTTATAGCTTATACAGGATTTTGACGTTATTTTTGATTTAGTATTTCTATTTCTGGAACAACATTAGTTAAACCACTTGGTCATCCGCGATTAACACGTTGTAAAGCCATCTAACTGATTTTTAAATGTAAAAATAATAGATATAAGTTATATCATATAACTACTAAATAAATAAAAAATATGAATATGTTAAAAAATATAATAATATGTTAAAAAAAATTTTTTATATTAAATGTATTTATCTTACCTTTTGATAAAAGAAATGAAAAACGCTATAACTAATTAAATCGATGAATTAGTTAAATTTTTCTTGTATTAAAACTCCATCGCAGATTTTAAAAAGCAAAATAATAAAATGATTAAACGTGTCTATTCTGCAACATTACCACTTGCGATACTGGTCTGAAATATTTCTTGAACAATTCTTTTTTTTGGTAACTTACGATGTTTCCTTTCATGAAGTAAATGCTTTGGAAAATTGAAAACAGAGGGTATGGCATTTGGACGCAATTTCTTTATCCAGGGTGTATTAGAAAATCTTCTGTAAGAAAATGTTCACTACAGACATAATGATGTTTTTTAGGAATAAACTTATATCATTTCAGTGCAACTAGCCACAACTTGCTTCTATTTTCATCTTTTAATGGAAACCTAAAAATAATATGAAGTATGTAAACATTCAGTTTAACAATTGCTAAAAAACAACTGTGTAGTACATTGTATTGTAATTATACCTCACTTCTATAGCAATTATACCTCACTTGTATTAAAACCTGTTATAGAACATGCATGAATAATTATTGTTCTATTATACAATTTATTAAGCTTTATAAAAGTTTTCTATAGAAGTGAGGTATAATTGCTGGTGCCAACTTTTTTTGTTAAATATAACTATTATTATAATAGTAATACACTAATAACAAAACAATATAAAATAATACATAATATAAAACCAATAATACACAATTATGCCTAACAATAACTTATACAACTAATGACATTAATACATTTTAAGTATAAGTGTATTATTAGTATAGTAAGTACAAGTGTTTCAACATACCTGTGAAACGACACGCCTTGTTTTAGTTTTTGCCGATTTGTGCAACCATATGCACAGCACGAAATAACCATATCTCTGCAATTTTTCAACAAGTAATAGTGGTTCTTAGAAATTAAACTGTTAAAACCTTTCTAAAAACTTAGGTTCAGTTAATATGAAGCTTATATCCCTTTTTTGCTCTTTCAGAATTCAAGTTTTTTGCCGTACTGCAAGATGGCGGACGTCGGCTTCACTTTTTAATTTAATTTTTTTTCCCCAGACTTTTTCGTTGAAAAAAAAGTTTAGGGAAAGGGTATTTCAAAATTGTACGTACCTTTAGAGGAGGGGGGGGGAGAACTTAGAAGTACGCATGGCAACAGGGGAGAGGTCATGATCCCCTGTTGCCATGCGTACAGGACGATCCCTTAGTAATTCATTAACTCTGTTTTTAAAAAAACCGGCTTGAAATTTTTATTTGAAGAATTTCACTTCCCACTGGTCATTAGTTTCAAGATTTAAAACAAAATGTCGAGATAATAAAATTTATTTTAATTATTTGTTTGACTCTAGGCAAAAAAACAATTGAAATAACTAGTGTTCATTCAAAGGATTGCATAAATGACACAACAACTTCTTTTAGCTTAGCTTCGGTAGATTCAGATATTTTTCCTTCAGATCGAATAGTATCCAACAAGCCTGAGTGAGCCGTCCGCACGTGTTTAACAAAAGATCTTTCGAAAGAAGTTACTTTTGAAGGGTCTAATTTATCAAGATGTCCTCTGACACCGGCGTATATTGTTGCAACTTGCTCTGCAATATCCATAGGTACTAAAAAAAAACATGTGTTTTAGCTATCAGAAATAGTTTCACACACACAAACACAGACACACTAAACTTACCATACTGTCCTTGCTTTAATAGCTCAGTTAATCTTACACCGCGGTTTAGCAATGCTTGTGTTGCAGCATCAAGATCAGACCCAAACTGTGCAAAAGCAGCAACTTCTCTATATTGAGCAAGCTCTAACTTCATTGAGCCTGCAACCTTAAGTAAATTATTATTTTTCTGTAATTTCTGATTAACTAATATTCATTTTTTTAAATACTGTATGCAAAAATTTTATCTCAAAATTGTTTAGACAATAGAGTTAATTTAAGATATAATTGCTAAAATTTTCATACTTGCTTCATTGCTTTTGTTTGAGCAGCTGATCCGACACGTGATACTGACAAACCAACATTGATGGCAGGTCGAATACCTTTGTAAAAAAGTTCACTTTCCAAAAATATCTGCCCATCAGTAATAGAAATAACATTAGTTGGGATATAAGCAGAAACATCACCAGCCTAAAAATAAATTATATTTCAATTAAAAAAATATTATTAAAGTAAAGTAATGCAAAAATTATTAAAAATGATATTATGAATACTTGTGTTTCAATAACAGGAAGAGCAGTAAGTGAACCACCACCAAATGCTTCACTCATTTTAGCTGCACGCTCAAGAAGACGAGAGTGTAGATAGAAAACATCTCCAGGATATGCTTCTCTACCTGGTGGACGTCTCAAAAGAAGAGACATTTGACGGTAGGCTACGGCCTAAAAAAATTAAAAAATAAAACGAAATCATAAATAATCTAAAAACAGTAGTTCTAAAAATATACTAGCTTAGATAATTTAAAACAGTAGTTCTAAAAACATACTTGTTTAGATAAATCATCATAAATAATTAAAGCGTGTTTTCCATTATCCCTAAAATATTCTCCCATGGCACAACCAGAATATGGAGCTAAATATTGAAGAGGAGCTGCATCTGATGCTGTTGCGCTAACAACTATCGTGTATTTCATTGCTCCAGCATCAGAAAGCTGTTTTACTAACTGAGCAACAGTACTTCGTTTCTGGCCAATAGCAACATATATACAGTAAAGTTTCTTTTCTAGATATTAAGTTAATAACAAAAGTAAACATAGATGAAAAAAATCTCAAAAATAAATTTAACAATTTCGAGTTTTATATAAAAAAAATTACTCACTATAAATTTACAATATTTTTAAAAAGGTTTACTTTTACCCATTAAATGCAAATTTCAAAAACAAACCTTTTATATTATAAACACCGAAACAAAACTTAAATTCTTCTAAATAAATGTAAACTTATATAATCTTTATTTTAAAAATTTTATTCAAGACCCTTAACTTGATAAAAATCTTTTTATTGTTAACATTAGAGACTGGTCTATTGTTTCAAATCTTAAGCAACCCCTAAACATTATTTTTATAAACATATTTTTATAATATAATTTTTGAAATCCAGTCATTAAACTATATAATAAAAGGGGGCAAGAAGATGCTTATCTTGAAAATGCTGCTCAAAGAACTAATTTGATACATACACACATGTACAATCTCAGCTGGGAGTGAATTAGTGCACAACCAGTAAAAAATTCATTTAAAATTGATTTGGTGAACTGCCTGCTATTTTTATTGTATGGCTTTTTTGTGCCAGTTATCAGCACTGAGACTTTTTCTATATTTTAAAAAAGGTTATGATAAACAAGTTCATAGAATTAAATTTAGCTCAGTTCTATTTGTTTTCATTGCACTCTTCTGTGATTCCACTTCATTTCAATTTCTATTTCTTTACTCACCAGTTTTATTCAATTTCATTTTTGATATGTTCTGTTTTGTTGTCTTTTTTTATAGTATTTTTGTTGACTTTTTAAAATATAATTAGTTAAATTTGCAAACATATAAACATAACACATATATTTTCAAATTCATTGTGTGTGTGTGTGTGTGTGTGTGTGTGTGTGTGTGTGTGTGTGTGACAACACACACACACACACACACACACACACACACACACACACACACACACACACACACACATTATCAAATTTAGTATATTATTATTTTACTAAACTGATGCTTAATATAGCATTTTGATCATAAAATTTTCTAGTTAAGTACAACTCTTTTTCTATTTTACTACAAAAGTTTATTTGTTTCTTTGTGAATAAAATGAAATGAAATATGAAAATCGCACTTTACATCTCCATGTGCGAAAGCAGCTTATTACAAAACTGAAACTTTAATGAATGAGAATGATCCTTATAATATTGTTTCTATGTGAGGTAACTGAAATTTTAACAAATTTTATTCAAATTACTAAGTATGAGTACCAGAGTCTTTCTATTACTTATGTTTTGATTGAGCCATATTTTATGCACATAAATTAAAAAGAAAAAAAATCAACTGTTATATTGCTTATTATAAAGTATTAGACAATAAGAATTTGCTTTGACTTAACTAAATTTTATATTTTTATAAGGTTTTTAATTAAAATTGTAAAACATATTTTTTCAAGTTAAAACATATTCTTTATATTTCTACATTTCTTTGTTTTTTTACAGTTTAAATTATTTATAATAAGTTAAATTGTAAAAAACAAAGCCATAAACAGTGACTTTATTGAATTACTTATACAGGCCTTGTTAAGAAACATTACAGAGCTTGCATTTTACATACAAAATGGTGATTTACATATGCATTCAGCAGTTTTAGGTTCAATTCTTTTTCTTTGGAATATCTAAATTATCTTTTAATATCGTTTATGTGACATTTATTCATTTAACCTCAACTGTGAATTTTTTTTTGTTAAAGAAGCTGATTATTTTAAATAATTTATTTTTTCAATTAAAAGACTCGATTAATATGATTTTAAAAATTAAAAATTTAAATTTAGCTTTGAAATAATGTAAAATAGATATTAAAATGAAGAATATAAAATTTAATTTCAAAGAAATGTAAATTGGGTATTCTAGGAAAATAATTAGCTACTGCCCAATTATATTCTTAGAATACCCAATTAATCTTTAATAACAAAGTTTTTAATACCTGAAAATAAAATATTTGTAATTACATTTTAACTACATAATTGTAGTTAAAGAATAATTTTTACATTTTTATTTTAAATACACAGTTGCATTTTATTCATTTACATACTTAAAATGTGATCCAACTTAAACATTAATATATTTACCATTGCCATTTAAATCAGTTTAAAACTTACATAGATAATAAATCAGTTTACACACTGACTTGTATGGATGTGGATGTGCAGACAGAGTCATAGTCCATCATTCCCAGTAAAGCTTTATATGTATATATTTTTACATGTATTATATTATCGAATTACAAAAAAATTTCTATAATATTTAATATTACTTATCAAAACTTACTTTCATCATTAGAATCATTAAATCTTTTTTGGTTAATAATAGTGTCAATTGCAATTGCAGTCTTTCCTGTTTGACGATCTCCAATAATCAACTCTCGCTGTCCTCTTCCAATAGGTACCAAGCTATCAACAGCTTTTATACCTGTCAACATAGGTTCCTTTACAGATGTTCTTGGAATAATGCCAGGAGCCTTTACACCAACACGCGCACGTTTAGGACAATCCACAGGCCCTAGACCATCAATAGGATTTCCTAGGGCATCTACAACACGACCCAAAAGACCTTCACCAACAGGAACATCAACAATAGCCCCAGTTCTTTTAACAATATCTCCTTCTTTAATTAGTTTATCATTACCAAAAACGACCACACCAACATTATCAGCCTCCAAATTTAAGGCCATTCCCTGAAAACCAATTTAAATACAAATACTTTAGTTAACTAAAAATAATAAAATAACTTTAAACAGGCAAAGCAATTACCTATTATATAAAGTGAACAAGCTTTACACTAAATACCATTATTAATGTCATTGGTGACAGGAATAGACTCTGACCTATGTAAACATGCATCACTTAACAGGTTAGGATGTGTACATCTAGAATATACACAACAGCGCTCAAAATAGTTTTTCAAAGCTTGCCAATCAAATGCAATTTATTCACAAAAACAGGTTATTTTCCCTTGAATTTTTTGAAAATTCCCTAAAAATAGCCAATCATTGATTGGCCGTTATTTAGAGCGCTGACACAACATATACATATATACTACATATAGTATTTACATGAGATAAAAAAAATAACAAAAAAAAAAAAAAAAAAAAGTTTTTAAGGCCATTATTTATAAAAACCACTGACAAATAACTAACATTGGGTCAAGCTTTTACAGAAGATGACTATTGTTCTTTGCATTTTTTGACAGTTTGTGTTTAAAAGTGCACTGAAAAAACCAAACTCAGGCTTGGACAGGAATGGCCTGCGATCGAGCGCTATTCCTGACCAGGAAATGATTTTATTTCTTGACAACTTGACCACAATTGTTTATATGTTTTGATTTAAACACTTCAGAAATGCGCGGAATGTTGAAACGCTAAGCTAAACTTAAACTTGGAAAAAAGTAAAAAAACAAACTAAATTCCTTACAAAAAAAAATTCTTTATGAAAAAGAAATTATATAAGCACCAAAATAAATAAAAAAATAAAACTTAAACTCAAAGCAAAACTTTTTGTTACGCTTGAAATAAATCTTTTTACACGTTTTATTAAAGTTACGCAAAAGGCTTTTAAATTAAGTAACAAATTACTACTAATGATTGTTTAATAAATGAACAAACTTTACAAATTTATTAAAGTGTTGCATTTAATATTTTAAAATTGTATAAAATTCTTTTTTTTTCAAAAAAATTGCAAAAAAAATTTTTTTGTTAAATAATGTAGTTTTTTTAAATAGTAATTTTTAATAATTTCATCTCTAATTAATGTCTAGTTAAAAAAAAGGTTTCCAACTCTTTTATTCGTAAAAATGTGCCTGCGATTTAAATAAAATAAACTGCCAACGAGCAATTCAATTTTAATTTGAGCATTACAACTTTATTAATAAGCAGTTCTTGTAACAAATTTGAAAATTATTATAAATGATATTAACTCATCCATTTCTATCGTAATTAAAAAAAAAATTTTTAAGAAAAAAAATAAATAAAATTCGCCTGCGATTTAAATAAAATAAACTGCCAACAAGCAATTTAATTTAATTTTAATTTGAGCATTACAACTTTATTACTAAGCGCTTCACATAAAGTCATTAATATAAAAATATAATATAATAAAAATAATAATATAAAAATTAACCGTATGAACATTACAAAATGTTTCAAAACTTTTCAATTAATCAACAAAATACATGCTTATATAAGTAAAAAAAAAGTTATTTTATATTCTTGTATAATTCACATAAAATGTGTAAAAGCTAGTAGTCGCAAAAGGTTATTCATAAATTAAAGTAACTTTAAAAAAAAAATCTTTCTAAAATTAATGCTTTAAAAGATTTTTAGTAAGACATAGGAAAATAGTCTCAAGTGTTTAAATTTATCACGAAAAATACATGCCTACAGAGTGCGATCGCACACCATTCCTGTCCAAGCCTGCAAACTAAGTAAAAATTTAAAAATATCAAATTTAAAAAAGTATGCTATAAAAATAACTTGTCTTTTTAATTCAAAAATTCACTTAATAGACTTAAAAAAAAAAGTATTAAAGTTATTCAATCTAAACTTAATTAGAAAAACATAATTACTTAAAAAATTTGTAATTTTAATATTTTTTAATGTTTACCTAGTGCATCAAAAAATAAAAATAAAAAAATTCTACCTAACAATTCGAGCCAGCACCCAATAATCAGTTGATAGCTCTCAAATATTGAAATTTGTTAAACCTTGTGAGCCAGCACCCAATAATCAGTTGATAGCTCTCAAATATTGAAATTTGTTAAACCTTGTGTGCTATACTAACACATTAATAAAGGGGAAAAATAAACAAATTTTTTATGTTTGTATTTAATAATATTTTAAATGCAAGCTACAATAAATGGAACCCTTATTAATTGTAAAAAATATATTTTTTCAAGTCGATTTTTTATTTATTTTCTAATTTGTAATTTTTTCTTTTTAAAGTTAAAAGTTTTCACTTTAATTTGGAATGAAAAATGCAAAAATTATTTAAGAAGCAAAGAGCGATTGCCAAGTTGTCAAAACAAAATGTTACATGCACAGTTTAGGCAAGGTGTGCAAAAGCATTATCTCCTGTGAAGGCATTTATGTAAACATATAATATCTTAAGTAAATATGTATAGATGCTTTATATCAACCATTATATACTATTATTCTAGTCGTACTAAAATAGCTAAAGCTAAGTAGACATACTAAGAGCTTGTCTCATTATTTAAAAGACATTTTATATGTAGAAAAAAACAAATTACTCTACATATAAAATTTTTTTTTATACTTTAATTTTTTTCTTCAAATTTTTTTTTCATTTCAAAATTTGGAGTAGAATATCGTAATACCTTGCAAACAGCAGGGTACCACAATATTTCTATACAAACCCTGCTTAATATGCAGAATTGTATGTATGTGTATATTTATACTACAACACATTCACACCTTTAATCCACTTGAAAACTCCACCATCTCTTCGGCTTGAACATTTTTTAATCCATAAACTCTAGCAATACCATCTCCAACAGAGAGTACTTTGCCAGCCTCTTCAAGTCCAACCTTACTTGAAGTTTTTAAAATCCTCTCTTCAAGTATAGCAGATACTTCAGCAATAGCAGGTTTATAAGCTGTTGTCTGGAAACATCTTGAAACTAAAAAACCTCCACTTCTTCTGCATTGCTAAATCAAAAAATTACATGCCAAAAATTAAATCAAAAAAACTATGTTAACATATACAGAAAACTTACCATTATAAAAAAAACATACAAAAGATAAGATTAATATAATTTTAATTAAATTAGATTAGAGCATTAACCAAAAATTGATTTTTGAGTTATGTTTCAATTTTTAGTAATGGATAATATCCTTTAAAACAATATAAATATAAAAAGAAAACATTTGCTTACTTATACATTGAATTTTATCTTTTTTAATAATAAAATAGGAACTTTTGATTAACATTTTATTAGGGCACTTGATTTTATTTTCCATCACCCATTTCACCTCTGTTTTTATGATTTATAATGATGAAATACATTATGCTGATAACCATAAAAAACGGTACTCTAATACAATGATAAAGTTTAAAAAACTATACTAAATACTCTAATATTCACCTTTTTTTTTTAAACATTCTTTAACACTGTTTTTATTGAAATTCTTTTTTTAATAATTTAACCCAGTTTTTATTGTCATCAAAATTTATTTAAATTTAATTTTTAGATGTACATACATTAACCAATAAATGGAATTGGCTTATTAAATGTTCATATATTGACTGACAAATAGCTATTGGTACAATTAAATGTACATACATAAAATGACAGGCATTGGCGTAAACAAAAGTATGGTTAGGGTCAGAGATCAATCAGAGTTATATGTTTTGCTTAACCCGTTTACAGTCCATGCCATAATATTACGCAAACAAAAAGTGGTTCCCAAATGTCCATGCCGTAATATTTATGTATCTCCCTATATTTCCTTAGTAAAAACACTTTTTTTATTTTAAAAACGCAGGACATTTAGAGACCACTTTGAAAAAATAAGCTGGATTAATAGCAACCATATTTTAAAAAATACACGAGACTGCTTAAGGGTTAAAACAGATTTGTTTTAAAGTGTCAAGAGTAAAACAGTTTTGTTTCAAAGTGTCAATAGAAACCAGGCTGTTTTAAAGTTAACTTTAGAAAAAGAATTTAGTCATAATCAAGTACAAAAATGTTGTTGAATATTAGCATTTATTAGTGTTTTACATTTTTATATGACTCTGAATCAGCATAATGTATTTTATCATAATCAATCATTGAATATGTACTTAAAATAAAATCGAAAAAAAAAAAAAAAAAAAAAAAAAAAGTCAAGAAGTCATCATTTTATTAAAATTTAACAGAGAGATGACAATTTTCAGAAAGATAATTTCAGATTAATCTCTAGTTAGTCTAAAAGATGTTAGCAAAAATCATAACAAGCAACACAACATAATTTTAACAATTACTGTTTTAAACTTTAAATGTTTTCTATTACAGTTTAACTTTGTTTTTTATTACTGTTACTAAATTACTGTTCTGACTGTAAATGTTTCAATCTGCATAAGAATCTCAAACATAATCATAATAAAAGTAGTAGCAAAGTTTAGCCTAAATCGGCAATAGATCCTGTTTAAAATATATATTAAGTATGAGCAAATCAATCTATTTATAGCAACAGTTTTGTAATCAAAATATTACTACTTTATCATAGCGTGCTTGGTGTATGTGTTGTAAAATGTATTTTGCAGTGTTTCTTTTCAAAATTTCATATAAACATAGATGTTTTATAAAAAGTACATTATTTAAACTTTCATTTTGACTTATTTGTTTTTAATTTTCCTAATAATAAATTTACTCATCTGAAAAATGTTGATGTTAATCAGATATAAAAGGTGTTGGGCTTTTTTAAAAACTACTGGACTCTGTTCAAAAGCATATTTTTTATGTTCATGCTAAATTTCATTGAAAAAGATTATGTAGCAGACAACTAATTTTTTGAATTAGAATATATACCTAAATCAAAATATTGTGAATTAAGCCAGACGTTGTGGAAATAACAATAAAGTTTCATAACAAAACTACTGTTAGCTAAACAAACTGTTGGCTAAGACTCTCCAAAATTGTTTGCAGTTTTATTAAGCAATCCTTGTAATACATAATTTTGTTACATAAATGTTTTTTTTGTAAAATAGTTATTTTTTAATGAAACTTTTACTATAGGAATAGTAATTTTAGCCGACTTCTAATTATATATAATAATCAAATTTTAGTTTGACATTTTTAAACAAGTAACTATATATTATTGTACTTATTTGAGAGATGATTTTACATGTAATGGTTGATAACATAAATGTTATTGTATATTAGATAAAATGCCAAAAGAAAATATACATTATTCAAAATTTTTTTATATTATCTATTGAATATTTACTTATACAATTATATTAATTATACAATACAACATAAAAGTGAGGTTATTTGACAGATGTTGTTTGTTAATTAACTTTATTATATTTAGATTTTTAACAGAGAAATTTAAAAAACCTAAAAAGCAACTGAACCATTAATAAAACAAATGTTTTTAAAACTAAGTTTGTTAAAACTTCGAAACAGTTTCGTTTCTTTAAGCAAAAGAAATAGCTTTAAATTTACCTTAATAAGTTACAAATTATAATAGAAAAACTTACTTATAAATGGAGCTAATTATAAACATAAAAATTGAATTACCTTTATCACAGAGACATTACGAGCTAAAGATCGGGCTACTCTTGCAGAAATCATTGTAGAGAACCAAATTTACTTCCTGCCCTTTTTAACAAGGTCTGCCTTCAGGCTTGAGCTTTGCACAAATAATATTGGATAGATGTGTCACAAGAGCATGCGTAAAGAAACAGTTTTGCTGTCATGGGCGTATTTCCTAAATTTTGACACTTATTTACACTAAAGTTGAAACTAATGTAACTACTATCTCAATTTTTACTAAAATATTTTATTTGTTTATAAAATTTAAACTTAGAGGTAGATAAAGAAAACAATGAGAATTTTGTGTTTAATTTTCATAGTATTATTCGATATTCATTTTTTCATCGGAAGTTAGACCACATAAAAACGACAGATAAAATGACGTTTTTTACATAGAAAAAAGATGCCTTTCGGTAGAAATGTTGTCGTAATCTTGGTAAAGAGTCTAGTCTATTTTTAATAAACACTTCAACTCAACAAGCGAAATTACCAGCCCGGTAGCAATAAGTTTTTTTGTGAATAATCCTTTCTCCAGTAAGAAAAATAAAAACACGGACGTACCCTAGTTGCTTTTAAAACGGTTTTTTTTAATAATTTGGTATTAAAAAAAAACCGTTTTAAAAGCATATAGATTTTATATGAACAAGAAAAAACAACTTATTGCTGTTAAACTATTTTTTTATATCTACCTGCAATAATTCTTCTTCGTCTTATAATCCACAAACGTAAAAAATAGAAAGTTTTAACACAGCCAACTTAAATAAAAGTTGACTTATACTGGAAAGAATCTGTTTTTAAAATATTATTATTTTTTCATTATTTAATTTTCATAAAGTTTATCTAAAAAATCAGTATTTGAAATTTGGAGTTACGGCTAAAGTTTTGTTGCAAGTATCATATCATATATTGCTCGACTATAACTACTTCATTTGAAAAACACATTATCAGATCATCATCACATGTGACTAAAAAGTTTTAAACTTCTTTGATAGTAAAATTCTTCTTAAACTCATTCTGTATTATTTTTTTTGACACAACTATTATTTTTGCCATTAACCTTGCGAGTATCAAGGCTGAATAGAGGAGATTTTTTTCCAAATTAAAAATAGAGAAAGCTATGACACAAGACAGACTTTAATTGATTTTAAAATATTTAAAACCCTGTTCTATAGCATTAAATTTTTTAAATTTTAAATTTATCAAATTAAAATGCTATTCTATAGCATTTTAATTAACAATTTGATTTTATATATGATAATTAAATTTCGGAGAGAGAGAAAGGCGGGTGAGTCAGCATAGCTATTAACACTTGGGGCGTTTTAAAAGTTCTTCTTAAAAAAAAAATTTCACACTTTTTTTTTATTAAGAACTTTTAAAACGGTTAAGCTAGCGTTTTTTGTTCCAAGTTTTAAATTTTTTGTTCTCCCGATTTATCACCACAATATAACATACATCAGTGTATAATAATTTTTTTTATATCTAATTCTAAACTTTAACCTGACGTCATATATTGGTATCTCAGTAGTCTCAGAACTTGAACTATCGCAGTGCAAATGTACAAGGATAAATCTATGGAGTTTACTCGAACAAATTACTAGATCTACTTCTATTTCAAATTTTTTGAAACTATCTATTATTCCTCTTTTAACAGGTTACCTACAAACTAGTTCTACTTTTCTGAACACTTCTACTAATCAGTTTTCAAACACTTCCTCATATTTGAACACCCCAAACCCAATTTTATCTGATTGATAAAGTTTTTGTACGGAAGTTTATACTAAATCAAGTACAGTTGATTCCCGATAACTCAAACCTCTAAAAGACCAAGGAAAATAGATACAACTAAAGCAGTTTCTAAATTTGGCTGATAAGAGATATTATTTTGAGTGAAGGCAATTTTTATTTATTCAATGCTAAAGTATAAACATTACACAGTTATCCTAGCCAAACCAGCTGACCCAAGAACGCCAATTATATGAAAAGAAAGCGTACACATCCAGGTACCCTGTGATGCAAATTTTGAAATCTTTCAAGTTTTCCGCGAAAAATAAGAAAAAATGCTTATTTTTTTCAAAACAGAAAAAATGTGAGAAAGCCAAATATTTTTTTTATTGATTAAAATAATTGATTTTAAAAATTTAGATAAGAAAACTAAGATGACGGCTAAAAAGTTTGGCGGACCAGTCCGAGGAAATTTAATCTTCACAGATTAGGTTTGCTTTGATGCAAAATTTGTAAAAAATTAATAAAAATAACTGTAAAGAAAACTTTACAAAAAGAGAAAACCTCTATCAAAAGAGAAAACTTTATGAAGGGGAAAATTTTGTTCCTTGAAGAGCAGTAAAAATCGTTTTTTAAACTGTGTCATCAAATAAAATCATATCTAAATTGTCATTAATTGTGATAAATAATTTAAATAATTATTTCTTTGTTAAAAAAGAATTATTTAAGAATTATTTCTTTATAATTTAAAAAAACATTTCCTTGATTTTAATAGTTTTTAATTCATAATATTTATAAGTATATTAAGTGAATTGTTATCCAATATAAATTACGTTAAATTTTATAAAAGAGTTTGATTTAGTGAAGTTAGATTTAGAAAATCACCGCAATGTCAAATTAAGCAAAGGTTCATGATGAAAATTTAAAGTTTGTCAGTTTTCTTTGTCTGAAAAAATCTTTAAGTTTTTTAACTATTAAAAGCTTACTGCTTTCCAAGTATATTGAATATGCCAACTTTATAAGACCAAGATCAATATTAGTTATTCTCGGAGACCGCATGGACTCTACGAGTCGTGCAGAAGACTTTGCACAGGAAACAAGAGGGGAATGAAGTTTCACTCAAGAGCGGATTTATAGGGGAGGCAATGGGGGCAATTGCCCCGCCCCCTTTATATAATTTTTTTGGTATTTAGTATTTGTAGCCTTTTATAAAAAAAAAGCTTATATGATTTGTTGATTATTTTAAAATCTTATATTACAAACTCTAATTTACGATTTCCCGACTTTGCAAAACGGTCAATCACGTTTTCAACATTTACTGAAACTTCTCTGTGCACATTAGGTAAGGCCAATTCGACTCGCAAGTTTAAGAAGCTACACTCAGCACTGGTGTCACTTACATGACATGACTTAATAATTTGAAACAACTTGTGAGTGATTTGAAATTGCACCTGGTCACAAAAATCAAAAACAACAGAGTTATCAGTGGGTAGTAATGTGATTCCTCCCTCATCTTTCATCTTTATACATTTGGATTCCCATAGTTCAACTTCTGAGACTACTGAGACACCAATATATGACGCCATTTCATAGTTACACTCGTTAAAGTTTAGAATTAGATATAAATTCAAATTTAGAATTAAAGATTGAAATAAAAAATTAAAGAGCAATATATGTGAGTATAAGTATAAGAGTATGACAGAAAAAATCAAACAAAAAAATTAAATATAAAATTTTTTTTTCGGGTTGCTGATAAAATGTCCCCCCCCTTCCGCATTACTTGATGATCTGGATCCGCCCCTGGTTGCACTCCCCACTTTGTTTGATTTCAATTCAATACAAGCGAGTCCTGAAATGTTAAAGATGCAAAATCAGGCGATCAAATTGCATCTCAAGGATTAAAGAAAATTGTCAGAGCTATAAACCAAGCATCAAGCCAGGCCAAATTTTTACATGATTTTTCTAAGAGCAGGTTAACACTTAAGTGATTTTTTCACCTGCAGTGACTTAAAAATTACTGACAAAAAAGGAGATTCTAGTTTGGGTTGTTGCTCACTGCAATAATTCATCAAATCTTATGAATAATGTTATTCAATCTTGCAAGATTTCTATTTGTTCAATTTTGCAATTCAATCTTGCAAGATTTCTATATTATTTCAAGATGGTTATTTTGTTAAGTAAGGAATCGATAGTGGCAAAAGTTTTCTCAAAGTTTGTCTAAACATTGTCAATAATACGTTAAGGGGTGAGACCAGCTCACTGACACAACAGCAAATTCTCACTCAAAGAATTAGCAAAGATAACTGGAGTCATTCCATTCTTGAAAAAGACTTTCATAAATGGAATGCGTTTTGATGATTCACAATGAAATTCGTTTCACAATTTTAATGATTCAGAATAGAAATATACGTCTGATAAGTTCCGGTGAGCTTTAAATGTAATCAATTAGACAATTTCAAGTATAGTCACAAGAAATATTTATTCTTATGACTGTGCTTTAAGTAGGGGGGAGGGGTCCATAATCGTCTTTTTTTTAGATTTTTTATAGTTTAACCAATTTTTCTCAATTAGTTTTTCATGCTGATCATAATCATTTTTTTTTTTCATTTTAATTATTTACCCTTCAATTTTAATAAAAGTGAATATATTAACAAAAAAAAGCATTGTTTTTTAACAATGCTTTTTTTTGTAGATAGATAGATGAAATTATTATTATCATTAAATATAAGAAAAGTAGAAAACTAGAAATCTTTTTCTGTTTAATTTATTAATAATATACCTTATCATTTATAAGTAACAAAAAAAATTAAGCATTATATATATGAAAATAATTCATACAGTTATTTACTATTGAAAATGAAAAATAACTTTAAAAGTCATATGTGATAGAGACTGCTGCGTGAACTTTCCTTATAGAACATCTAGGTTATATGCGTGTTCTCTGGTAGACATAAGATAGAGGTTTGTATTTTTATATCAACAATCATGTATTTAAACAGAATAGACCTCCGCGACAATGACCTACATTGTATCTCTAAAATAAAGAACCTCATTTTTTGAACTTTTTTTTCATTTTAACATATCTTTATCTATTTTAATAATGTCTAGTTCACAATTAAATGGGTTGCCTTGTAACTTTAATCAAGCTAAAACAGAACTCATCTTGTACATCTAATGTAAAGTTTGCTGCTCTTCAGTTGTTATCCATTTGTTTTTGTAGCTAGTTTCAAATATATTCCATAGTTTCATTTTTTTGGACAATTAACTGGACAATAATTCTCCAAAATATTTTTAAACTGCGAGAACCCTAACTTTTTATATAGTTTAAATAATTAAGTATACATCTACTCTTGAAATTAAATGGAATTTTTTCCAAAGCTTTCCAACTGCAACAACTTAAACAGAAAGTTAATACTAATCATATTCCATCATCAACCAAACAAATAATACTTTTCTCTTTTTTGTAGTTCTGAGGCTAACTTTTGCTAAAATACTCTAGCAAGAATGATACAATCATTCAACCTCTTTGAGGTATACTTATTAACTGCTTTTAGAATTTTTTTTAACTAACTATTCACTGCGTTTTAGAGTAAAGCAGAAAATTTCAAAATTTGATCACCCAAGTTTGTTTTTTATAAAGTCTTTTAGGTAGCGGTGTTCCTTTAGCCTGTTTATCTTTAGAATTGTTAAAACTTTAGAATATAACTGAACTTCTACTGACTGGCACTTTAAAAGAAGATTTATTCTTGACTTCATTAAAGAAAAGTGAAATAAAAAATGAAATCTTGAATAGCCTTCTTGATAGCTTGAATAACGATTAAAAATAAATAAAAAAAGGAAACTAAGATATTATGAAGCGATCTGTCTTTTTGATTACTTAAAACGTTTTGTTTAGAAAGAAACTTCAGATAAAACTTTTTTTTTGAAGCAATTTGTCGTTTTACTTATTTAAAACGTTTTTTTAGAAAAAGACTTAAGATAAAGCTTTTTTTTTCTAAAACGCAACGATTAAAATCAAATTTATCCAATCAAAATTTGAATAGCATTTGAAAGAAAAGTTTATACGCAAAAAAACTTTTGCAAAGACTTTTATTTTTTATATCTTTAAATTTTTATAATAGAAGTAGAAGGTCAACCATAAAAAATTAGCAAAAACTGAATTGTTTTTTAAACTTTTCTCAAAAAATTAATTAAGAATAACTGGTTAAACAAGAAATATAGAATTTTAACCCCCCCCCCCTACTTTAAGGGAAAAAAACTAAAGCTCGAGGTAACCGGTGTTCGACTTTCCGGGAATTAACTGAATAGCATTGATATCCACGTCGTTTTTGTTAATATTACACGTTCAGTTAATATGTACATGAATAACATGTTATATTATAGGGTAATTTTGTGGTAATTGTACACTCTAAGAAAAAAAAAAAATGATGAGCGCAGAAGAGGATGACAATAATATTTTAAGAGCTGAGTTTGATGCATTAAATTTAATCGAAGGGATTACTCAAGTTTTACCCGAGGAAACAATATTTGTAGAAAACAAAATAATTATTTCTAGTGAAGACACATCTTTTAGCAAGTTGATTACAAACGATAACAGTACTCCTTTATGTTCGAATCAAACTTTAATTCAAAGTGATCAACTTGTATATGGAGAAGTTGAAGCGAATAAAGAAACAAAAAATCCAGTGTTTTCAGGTAAATAAAATGATGAGGAATGTCGAAGTGGTTTCGATGACACTTTGGCCGGGGCAGAGGTGTCAACTATAACAACCGCATATTTTGTCACTACTGTCCTGTGTTTTTTTATTTAGCGACACCAAGTTGGCTATAGTGACACTTGGTGTCTAAACAATTCTTTTTAATCAAATATGATTCATTTTATTTTTAAGAAGTTTTTATTTTTACAATAGTTAATTGTTATGAAATTATTTATTATAATAAAGTTGTTTCCCGGAGAATGTGTTACTGTTGGTATCATGTTCTTATTTTTCATATCAAAGTTTGTTGACTTTTAAAGCACTCATGCTGAAGTGTGTTTGAAGTGCTTAGGAGTTAGCTGCAGAGTGAGTGAATAAGGGTTATACATTACCTTATAATTCTATGCAAGTTATCCTGATTATAATATACACAATTAAAACAGCTATTTGTATTTTATTCAGCTAAACCCTTTGGTCCAGTGTTGCAATTGTTATATGAATGTTTTGGTTCAATAATTAACAATGCTTGTTGCTATTGATAATTTATTGGAAAACTAGTTATTTCAAATAATTTGATATTTCTCCATGAAAATTATCAAAACACCTACAATCAAAAAGTAATTATTTTGTCAGCAATACTACAACTACTATATTATTCAGAAAAGAAATATTTTATGACAACTTTTAAACTCTTATTTGTTCTTAAACAAATTTGTTTTGTAAATGAAAATAGTTATTTACAACTTGATTTAAAAATATATATAGTTAATGTTCTCTGTTTATTACTTTAAAAAGGGATATTTTACAGCTTTTTTCATACTTATTGATAAGAGGTAAAAAACAAAGAGTCGGCCAAATTTCAAAATCAATGAACCAACATTAAAAGATATATACAAATATTCACAATAAAGTTGCATAAAGATTGTATTGCTTTAAAATCAATAGTTCCTGTAATGTTTTTACAACCAAAGAATTAGTGAAACTAAAGTAGGTAGACTTTTGGTTAGATTTAATGTATATAATTGCTAACTAATGATGATGTTGCCAAGGACTATTCTAGGAAAAAATTTACTGCTGTTTCATATTCCATATTATTTCCCATATTCGATAATAGTTCCGCTAAACCTTCTTGTCCCGGCAAAGTTTAGTGGAAATATTATCAAATATAGACGTTTTTAGCAAAATAAACAATATTTGCCAAATTTGGGCAGCGCCTAAATATGGTCGACAATGTCAAAAACGGTCTAGAATAGCCCCTGGCTGCAGTAATGCAAAAATATGGACAGATAATTCTTGTAAAGAGTCAACTGTGCCACACGATATATATCTGGTCATAATCAATGTTGTCTAAAAATACTAAAAATTACTAATTTTAATCTATTTTCAGAGATATTAAAAGAATTTAAGTTACATGAAGCAAATGGAGTTCGAAAATAAGACCGATGCTGCTTTTAAAACAATTCAAACCACATTATATTGATAGTAACATTTTTGATTTAAATACTACTATAACTTTTAAGTATTACTGTAAAATAAAATAAACTACATAATAAAAAAAGGATAACTGATCTGAAAAATATATTAATGTTTTAGTTAATATATAAATTTATATATAGCTTCCAGTTCCAATATATTATTCCAATAGATAGAAAAAAGTATTAGAATAAATTGTTTCTAGAACTAAACAAATGCAATATGGGATAAATGTATCTGACTATGTAGTAAATATATCTAATTACTTAAATTATGTTAAGACTACACATATTTAAAAAACCAAGTTATTCTGTTATGTTGTTAGTGTAAGAATACATGATCCTTTGAATCATCTAGGTTTGAAGTATTCTGATTATAGTAAGAAAAAACAACCCCTGACTGCTATCATAGAGCATGCCGTGAAGCTTAATTTAGATACTTTAGTTGATAAGTTCAAACTGAACAAAAGAAAAAAGCAAACACTTGTATCCATTTATCCTGTAGGAATTGTTTAAAAAATCGCTCTCGAAAAAGATCAATGAAAATCAAGGCAGCGTATTACTAGAATCAAAATGGAACTATTTGATTTTAAAAAACAGTGTTTTTATTGTGGCCGTGATTGTATCTGTGACAGAAAAAATCCAAATCACATCAAGTTCAGAGAAGTACATAGAAAAAAATCAGCCATACATTCTTCCACCATCGAAATATGCCACAATAGAGAATACTAACTTGCTAAAACTATAGCAGCATGTTTAATCAGTGTGAATGATATACTAGCAACAGAAGGCAGATATCAATTAACATGTAGAGCCAGCTTCGAGAATCCTTTACCAAATTATTTAACATCTGGATGTCCTACTTGCAATAACAAAATGACATCATTCAATACTATGTGTGAATTGTTAGAAAGAGACATAGAGTTGTACACGTTATCAGAATTTCATTCGAAAATGATGTCAATGATGACGTTTATTCAATAAAAATGACCAAAATCAAATAAAGGAAATGTACGGTGAGTCGTTATGCTTTGTCAAAAGAGAAGGCAGAAGCACTATAATTCTATTGAACAGTGTTAGAGACATTTTATGTGAAAAATGGTACCAGGAAAAAAACACAAACAAGGAGAGAAAGCGTGTTGTTTTAACAGGTGCAAAACTTTTGAAAAATGTCATAAAGAATCATGACTACAATTCCAACGCATATTCCAACGCATACTTTGCTTCATCATTGATCACTCAATGATGAAGCAAAGTAGCGAATATATTGGGGGCATTGTAGCATTCACAAAAAAGTGAATGTTACAATGCCATCCATAACATTTCAGATCAGCAAAGATCAGCAGCTTTGCATAAAAGCGTATGAAAAGCAATATGTCTTTACAAAAAACTTAGATATTTTTGTTTGTCTGAGGTTTCCATTAACTTTAAAAATATTACCTGTGATCAATCAGAAGAGGTGAAGCATCAATGCACAAAGAGTTAAATGGTAAAACCTAGATAAATTACTTTCAAACAAAAAAAAATCAAATAACAACACTCCAGAGCTTATACTCCTGCGTATCTGTTCAAAACAAAATTGTTACAATCGACCCATTAACATTTTCTAAGAATGGTTGTTGTTGTTGAAAGAAAGCCAGAGAATGAAATATGAGTTATCACCATATCCAACATTCTTATTTAAAGGAGGTGTTATGAGATCAGTACAAATATCAACATTGAAAACATTCATACTCATTAATGTATCACCAATAAAAGAACGTGTATCAATCAAGATTGCTGATGAGGGCACATTATTGTGGTGCTGCAATTGGAAAAAAAATTAGTTATTTAGTGAAATTTTTCAGAAATACATTGATTTGATTTGATTGATTTTTCAAAACTTACAACTTGACATGATGGTTATCAGTCGTCCACTAAAGATAGTATCCACCAAAAGCAATCTAGTAAGATATCACAAACAGTTGAAATCAATGGTCTCAATCCATGCCCAGCAGAAAGAAGTATTTTCTTAAGTAACTACAAAAACAAAAATGATTTTGTCAGACTCTTAGCATTGAAGTTACAAAACAGTGGTTTTAAAGTTATTTGTTGTCCCAATGATGCAAACACAAGTGTTGTTAAGCTAGCGCTTGAGATTGACAACGTTGAGTCAGTCACAATTTATTCGAATGACATACTGGAGCACAACCTCAAGGCATCTTTTTAAAATGTTGACACAAAATGAAGCTACAGATCAAAGATTATGTTATAAAATTCAGAATGTTATAAAGACAAATAATAATAAATTTTTAAATTATGTATTATTTGCACATGCATTCACTGGGTGTGACACAACATCAGCAATCCATAACTTCGGCCAAACCACAGTTTTTACAAAGTTAAAAAATTCAAATGAATTGAAATTTACTGTAGATTTATTCTATAAGGAAAATATTTCTACTAATGATATTGGCAAGGGAGCTATTCGTTTTTTTGAACTGCTTCATTCACCTTGTTTCAACCTACAGCATATCAGGAAACATAAATATGATGAAATGGTAGCATCTGATTGTGCAAGTATTGATCCTGCGCTATTACCGCCATCACCAAGACCTGGGTATTATCATGGAGAGTTAATCACCAAATAAATGTATGGAGAAACTTGAGTGGCGTTGATTTAGATCCATTGAGTTAAGGATAGGTAATACTAAATTAAATGCATGAACCAACTACGACAGATATAGAGACAGGTCCTCAAGATATTTTGAACATTATTAGATGTAGCTGCAAAGGTTCATTTGGAAATAAATGTATTTGTCAAAAAGCTGGATTAAATTGTACATCATTTTGTAAAGAGTGCCATGGTGTAACATGTACTAACAGTTTCCAGAAGAAGACATTGAAGAGGAAAAAAAGCCATTTTCTTTCCATGCTTTTGAGATATAAAAGATTAATTTTATGTTAAAAATATATTTATATAAATTTAAAAAAGTATATATGGTGTCGAATTACTTTGTATTTTCTTATAAATATTGGGTTATTTAAACGAGGGTCGCTGTAAATGGGAGGAGGAGGGATGAGGAGAACATTCTAGGAAACATTTTTTCCAAATTTTTAAAATTAGGTATAAAATGTAATATAAATTATAAATATATATAAAAGAAATATTTTTCTTCCTTCCCCAGGTAAATACTGGAGTCATAATCTGTCTTTTTTAAAACGCAGATTGCGACTGATTGTGATTTTTTTTGCTCAACACCATAAAAGTGACAAGATACACCATTAAAAAGCTGATAAAATTATCTTTCCAATGATATATAATATGTTTTTTCCATTTTAAACATAAATTCTACTATACAATAGGTTCTGATTTAATTTAACTTTAAACTGACAATTGTTTTAGTATCTTTAAAATTTGCTTTAAATATAAAAAGAAGTCCAGGTTGGAACAATATAATTTTTTATTCATTATTTTTGTTTTTTTAATTCACTATTTTGCCATTATGACATGGCTTATACACATAAAATCATTTTAAATGTGTTGTTTATTATGTGACACTTCTAATCTTGGCTCTAAAAAATTTATCTGCATAAATTGATAAAATTAGTGTTTTATTGATTTAATTCATGTCACGAGGCTTTAATGTATTTTATTTTTATAAGTTATGAGGCTCAGTGAGATAATAAAATTAATGGAAAAAGAAGATTTCAGCAAAAAAAAAAAAAAAAAAAAAATACAGATTAGATTAAATTGTAGGTATGTCAAATTGTTCTGGTTTTCACTATAATTGTAGGTATATCAAATAGTTCTGGTTTTCACCATAATTGGGCAACAAATAATAAGTTTAAAAAGCTCAACATCATCAAAATTCATTTTATCATTTAAATTACATATAAAAATAGGATATGGATGATTTTTGCTGAAAATGTTTGCTAAAAAACATTTATAAACAGACTAACAATAAATTTGATTTTTTTGATAAATTTTATGTTAATTTAGTTTTCTTTTTTAATTTAGTTCAACCTAACGAAAGTAATATATTGGAGCAACCCTACAAAAGTAACATTTTTATTCAATCTAATCAAAATAAAGATGACAACTCTGAAAATATGTTTTTAAATAATATATCTATCCAAAACAAAGATAATAAGTTTGGAAATCATAGTAATGTCTGTTCTAATTATGTAACTTCCACCTCTCAAACAACAAGTGATGAGGATTTAACCTTCAAAAAAAGCAGGGATTATGACAACAATATTTCTTCTAATTCTTCAAATCAAAGTAAGTTTTATATTAACACAAGTTTTACATTAAGTTTTACTTAAGTTCATTAATTACTTAAGTTCAGTTATGAATTACTAAATATAAAAATATTTTATGGTATTATATATTAAGATTAAAGTATTATATTTTTATAAAAAATGTTTTTTCTTTTTTGACTCACCATTACATAGTTAAGAAAATAAACATAAATAATGTAATTTTACAGTTTTTTTAAGTTGCACTATGTTACAATGTTGCAATATGAATACATATACATATTGTAACGGATAAAATTAATTTCTGGTTCAAATATCACTCTACTCAAAATAAAACAAAAATAAAAATTATTTTGAATACAATACAGCATCAAAGTAATTTTTTATTTTTATTTTTATTTTGAGTAGAGTGATATTTAAACTAGCAATTAAGTACTCTTTTTACTTAAAAATATTATGTAGTTTTTTTGCATCAAGATTTTTTTGTTTGTTTCTTTAATAAACAGTTTTACATATCATTTAAGTCTTAAGCTCACACATCATTTTTGTAGAAAGTTTTAACAGATCCTTTATCCACTTACTAAGTATTGATAAAGTTTTCAACATTTGCTAGATGCTCAGTGATCGTTGGTTTAAAAAACACAATCCAGAGATAGTAAGCTAATGGCAATAATTCTATTGAGTTGTAGTTAAGTATGGAACTCCACTTCCAGTGAATTGTGATGGAGTCTTGTTTTTAATCAAGTACACTAGATTATGCTGTTACAACAACTTAATAAGACTTTAAAACAAATGTTACAAATGGTTAATTTTAACACCTCCTTTAGCGCTAAATGTTTTTTTCTGCTTGATAAAAATTGAGCTGTGTGCCTGAAATGTTTTTCAATAAAGTTTTAATATTATATTATGGTATATATCAACCTAGTAATAGTGTGGTCAATTATCATGAAGATGATACACAGTTTCCAATTTGAAGAATGTATTGAACTCATGGAAAGATTCCAGATAACTCACTGCTTCTAACTTATTTTTGGCTGAATTGTCTAAATAATTTTCAAAATCCTTTAACCAGCTGATGATAGCAGAATAGTTGCTGGTAATTGCAAGTAAGAGATACTTTTGTTTTTCAATTTCATTATTTCTAGAGAATCGTCTGCTTGTAGTATAAGTAGCATGCAAAAGGTTGGATTGATTTTACAAATGGCCTTTTTTTTTTAAAATTCCCTTTTTTTAATAAATTACATTTAGTCATTTAGCAAGCTTGGCCAAAAAGCAGGTGCCATCACACTCTATTCCTGACCACGCATATATTATTTAGCTATGACATCTTGACTGCAGCATTTAAGATGTTTTGAAAACATGTTTGTTTCCATGTCCATTTTCAAAACATGTTTGTTTCTATGTATGTTCATTAAAAGTTATGTTTCAACATGGTAAAAAAATAAATTTTATAAATTAATCCCTTGTAATCAAATGTTTTTATATTACCAAAATACTTTTAAACAAAGTTATGACTTATTTTTATTGATTTTTTACAAAAAAAATATTTTTATTTCAAGTAATATAGGGTTTGAATAAATATATAAAGGTTAATATATATATATATATATATATATATATATATATATATATATATATATATATATATATATATATATATATATATATATATCAATATATATATCAATATATATCAATATATATATATATATATATCAGGCCTTGCAATAAAATGTCGGGCGATGTGAATTTTACGTCGTCCAAGAGCGATTTTGCGTGTAGCTAGGGCTATTTGCGTTGAGCAAAAAAATTTTTGTTTGAGTATATTTAAAGATATTTTTGAGCGGAATTTTAATGAAGTAACTTACGATTGTTTTAACATTTAATAAAGTATTTTAAAAACCACACGCAGTTGATATAAAAGTTTGAATTCCAAAAAAATTAAATATGCTCATTATTTACAAGTAGAAAAAGTTCAGATTAAAAAGCTAACATTAAGCTAACATTTTAATAAAATTATTCAACAATAGCAAAGTTGTCAATAAAATTGATCAAAATTACTTTTAGTTTTAGATTTTTAACTTAAATAATTATTTTACGGGGGCTTTGTTAGGTTTTAGAAGTATTCCATAGATTTAAAAGTATTTATTAACTGTTAAACGTTAAACATTTAAAGTATTTAAGAGTAATTTTGAGAAAACATTTCTAAAATTGGTAAGCGCAATTAAAAAAAAAATAAAAGGATTAATATTAAAACGTATTCTACTTGATTCAATAAAAAAGTACAGTTATTAAAATTTTTGTAAAAAGTAACTCAAAAAAAAATCACTTGAATAATAACAATCGCTTTTTTGTTAAAAGTTGACTTATTGACTTATTTTACTAGAAATAAAATTCATTGTAAACATTAAAAATCTATTCAAAACGTTTCTTAAAGTTTTTTATTAATACGCGTGATTGTGCTTATCAACCGCTTTACGAAAATAAATAAAAATAAATAAATAAAAAAATATTATATAAAATCGCTGGTAAAAATATTAACTATTGCACAGTTTTTAACAATATTAAAATTTCTAGTTTATTACTCGCTAACTTTTTAAAAAGAAAAAATAATTATTTGAAAAACTTTAAATTACTTATTTGAGAAAAAAAAAATCAAATATTAGCATATTTTATAATCTTTTTTAAATGTTTAGTTATAATGTTTTTTATTTGTTTAGTATAGACAAAACGTGTCAAACGTCAAGAAAATAAACATGTTTTTACATTTTAAAAAACAAAACATTTTAAAATAATAACATTTCTACAATTAATGATTTAAAGTAGTTTTGCGGTAATTAAGTAAATTTGTGCAGTTAATGTCAATAAATATGAAAAGGAAATAAAAAGAATTTAATGACGTCAAAAATCACGTCGTGCTTATGCGTCACGCAGTTTTTATTCATCTCAAGGCCTGATATATATATATATATATATATATATATATATATATATATATATATATATATATATATATATATATATATAAACAATTTTATTGAACAAATTTACAAAGATGCAATTTTATGACAATGGGAGAGAGGCTCAAGCTTGACAGGCAGGTCCAACTATGTCGGTAATGCATTTTTGAACCTTGTCTAAATGAGAAATAATATCATTAGAAAAACCAGCTCAAAGTATGTCTAAAGTATTCCATACAGGAGAAACAACCTCAGCAGATGCTAACTTAGCAATTGATTTTATATATGGATTCCTTAAAAGCTCAATGAGAGGGTTGCCATTCATCAATATAGGAACGTTGACAGTATTGCAATAGTTGTTTGCAGTAATTAACTGAGTTTAGTTTGAATTAAATTTACAAGCCACTGCAAGCTCCAATTCGTTATAGAAGTGAGATCAGATTCAAGATCAGCTACTTGTTCTAAGCGATCAAAAAGAAATGACTTTTTGTCAAGACAGGAGTATAAAGTTGAGTCATCAGCAAGTAGAGCCCTGTTAGATGTGTAAGGTTATCATTTATTGAAAACTTTAGATATGTCAAGAGCAATAGCTCTAGCCTCACTGCCTCCATCTAATGCACAATAAAATCTTTCAGTCAAAGCAGTTACCAAGTCAGCCATATGATTGAAAACTATTAGTTGTATGACTGTAAGTTATCTGACTCAAAATATTAAACATTTGTTGATCAAAAACTCAAAGACCTTGCTAATAAGATGTTTCACTTGTCTTTTATAAAATCTATTTTTTAATCTTCTTTATTAATAATAATTTACGATGACGTCTGAGCCTCAGCATATTCTATGCCTATGATTGATATTGAAATACATTCTAATTTTTTTACAATTTTAAAAATTAATTTATTTTACATTTAGACATTCTTGAACAAAATCAAGCTGGGCCTGTAGGTGAATTGTTTGTACCGTCTATATACACAGTTCCGAAAGCCAACTCTTGTCAAGCATCATATTTTGCTCCAGACATTTCTTTAAATACTGGTCTTTCATATCCGATTTTTCAGACCCCAATAAGTAATAGTGTTAGAGATCAAATTTTGGAATCCAACCCAATTTTGGAATCTAATCCAACAGATACACAGATTTTGCCTAGTGAACCGTATCCTATTAAACAGTATTCTAGTGAACAAAAAGGTATAATTTTAATATTTAGAAATGTTTAATTTTAATATTTTATATTTAAATAGTTTTAATTAAAAATTAAAAAAAAAATACTGGAAATTTTTTTGAACAAGCTGAATGATCCCAATTACATTTTTAAATGTAGCGAAAAACAATAATCAATAAGTTTGTAGAAAAACAATAATAATCAATAAGTTTGTAGAAAAACAATAATAATCAATAAGTTTGTAGAAAAACAACAATAAGTTTTATAAACAATAAGTTTTTAGAAAAACAATAATCAATAAGTAAAATTTCAACTCTTCAACTTTCATAAATCCATATTTGTAAGAAGTTCTCTAACATATTTATAACAAAAATATCAAAACTTCATAAAAAGTTTTAGATTTAATCAATCATCTGATGTAATAGTAGCAACTTTTACATTGAACAATTTTTTAATGGTTTTATTGATGCTTTTTTTTATAATTTTCTAAATCTTTTGTAATGATGAATAATTTTTTTTAAATGTCATACAAAAAAATAATTTTCTTTGTTTAACAAGTTTAGTCATGTTTCTTTATTGTTTTTTAATTATAAACATACAAGCATTAGTCAAACAAGGCAAAACAAAAAAGAAAGTCATTGAACTCTTTAAAACCATTTGGTCAAAAAATGTATAGTTAAAACTAATTTTTGTTCTAAAAATAGCATTTTTTTCCCCCCTGTAATTCCTGATTTTGCTTTTAAGTTGGTCAACTGTCCAGTCATCCCTGTACACATTTAAGATTTCCCCAAAAATCTTTTTTGGGAAATTCTTTGGGAGAGGTTATGAAATGCTTGCTTGAAATAATTTTTTTTAGTGACAACAGTACCTTTTTTTCCATCAAATTTTGTCTGGTCACCCTTTAGGTGACTAAAATGTTTCTCATCTCTCACTTGAGTCATCTGCTATGATTATCAGTAGTCCTTTGTTTTATTTTTTTTGGTAGTTTTGCTTAAATCAATATTATTTGTTTTTGCTTTATTTGTTTTTCAAAATAAATGTTTATCATCAATTGTATGACTTTCCTATAAATTTTATAGGAAACTAAACAAATACTAAAAGAATATTTTTTATTAAGTTAAGATTTTTATGATGCACTCTTAAATATATAAGTATAAAAGACATCAATCACCTTGTAATATATTCTGAATTTTTTTTCTTTTTATGTAAACAATGTAAACTTTTTTTCTAGTTTATCTAAGCTATTTATTGCTATAGCATTTTTATTCTCTGCAGCGCGCAGCCTTAAAAAACATATTATATTTAATATTTCCCAATTTTTATGTCGTATTTGGAAAGTATTTTACATTAAAACCTTCTCTTAACATTGCCAATCAAAAAACTATCAAAAATGATAATAAAAAGTTTTTCTAAACAATTTAAACGATTTCAATTTAAAAGTTCCCTATGTTACACCTTTTTGCAATCTTGACCAATAGTTGATTGCAACATATATAACCAACATATAACCGACCAATAGTTGTTCAATTTTGAAAATAAAATAAACTACATTTTTTACAGAATAAATTTCATTAAATATATTCTTGCATGATTAAATAAAAATTTCGAGAATATTTGTGCTCAATGAAAAGTTTAGTAAATAAATGCTGTTAATTAAACTTTTATAAGTTAATTAATAAAAAAAAAAATTTTTAACAGAATTTTAATAAGAATAATAATTTATATTATTTAATAACAGTTTATATCAATTAATAACAATAAATATAACACAAAAATAAATTGTGGTAGTAGAAGCCTAAAATATCTGAAATATTTTATTCATATTTTTAATGCGAACTTTCTGAAATTTAGAAAATAAAATAATTAAAGAAATTCTATAGTAATTTATGATAAAAAAAAAACTTTTATATAATAATAAGTAACTAAACAAATTTTTTAGTAATCTATAATGAAAACAAAAAAAGTTCTATAATTTAATAAAAAAAAAAGAATTTTTAGCCTTCTCATCAAAATTCTACAATGATGTCATATACTAAAACTCTTTGGAATTAAATGTGCTTGAATAAATTATAAAGTCTGTAGATTGCAGTGTGTCTTTTAAAAACTTAAAGCAACTGGCTAACATAAAGATGGCAAGCTTCAAGTAAAACAACTAAGTTCGTTTTTCTTGGTATATTTATTATTTTGTTTTACTCAAAAAAATTCAGCCCAAACATTTTTTTTTATTATTCTCTTTAATATAAACACAACTTGTCTCGGCACATACATTGGGATCCTTTTAAATACTCTTTTGTAAGTAATGATCTACAAAAGAGTAATAAAACAAAACCTTGCCAGGCAACTGACTGGTATTTTTTTCAGTTCTTCTTAGCAAAAATGAATCATACCAGTTAACCATGGCGTTACATTATAGACTTAATTACTTAATTTGTAAGTTCTTAATAACTTTATTTAACCAGTATTATGAAAACCATTTATTTTCACAAGGTATATGGAATCTTCTGTGGGATTCAAATTGGACAACGCAACTAAAAAATGCAACAAATTCTGTGCTAACTACCTTGGATCCTGGAATGGAGGAGTATTTAAGTAAGTTTATAAATATATAATAACTAATAGTTGTTTGATATACTACATAAAAAATGAAAGTAGATATCTGAAAAAGTCTTGTTTGTACTAGTGTTTGTTCTGGAATTAATTTTGAATTTTGAATAAATTCTCAAATAAAAAATGAATAAAAAAAATGTTTGCTTAGATATAATTTTTTAGTGATGTTATGTTTACCAAATTATATATACCAAAAAAATGAGATGGTATGGTAATATGAACGGTAATGTACTTAATGAGATGACTCATTAAGTACATTACCGTTCATAAATATAGGAAGATCTAAATTATTGCAATAACAATTGGTTGAAAAAAATTGAGTTTTATCTAAATTAAAGTTCGCCAGCAACTGTGAGCCCCATACTGTAGCAGAAGTGAGATCCTTTTCAAGCTCAAATGTCCCCTCCAAGCAATCAGAGAGTGTTGGCTTCTTATCATGACAAGAATAAATTGTAGTATCATCAGCGAACAATGCCACCTTTGATGTGAGAATATCTGGAAGATCGTTAATGTAAAAAGAGTATAGGGCCAAGGATTGAACCTTGAGGAACCCCTGAAGCTACAGGATATGAAGAAGATTGCTGTCCACTTTTATACTAAGATTGGAAGGATTTAATAATCTTAAAAATGTTACCAGATACACCATAAGAAGAAAGTTTATGGAGAAGACCAGCATGCCAAATTTTATCAAAAGCTTTAGAAATGTCAAGAGCAATAGCCTTAACCTCTCCTCATTATTATTAACAAACTCTAAGCCGTAACAATGGGCTCCAAATGTGGCTTTGGCAATGTACACCAAAAGTACAAACAGGGACACCATCCATGCGTAACATGGCACTGTTAATACTATGATATTTTTCAGTTAATCTGTTGATGGAATCAGCCTTTCTGAGACAGAGTTCGGGAAACCTGACTCCCAGCCGGCTTCAGAACCATAAAACTGAGTTTTAGAGCTGTACCCTCATTTGGAGATAATAGAATGATTTGCCTAGTCATAAAAACAGAGGCACAAACAAAACCCATGCATTGAGTCAAGAAGATTGAGCATTCAACATCCTTAACTGGAAACATTGTATTAAAAATACGTCTGCACCAGCCTAATAGATGAAGAAGGGGTGCGAGGCTGGTCAACAAATAGAATCTGTTTACCCCTTAAGTCTTTGCCTTGGAGGCCTTCTACAAGACATTAGCCGGATGCATTTAACATCTGCCCAAGATGAGTATTTTTATCGAGACACCATCTTTAGTCTTTACTTAACCAAGAACCCCGAGGCAGGGGGTGTTTTAAGTCGGAGTTGGCTTCTTCTAATATACATAAAGCGTACATTAATATACATAAAGCATACGAGGCAGCAGGACATGAAGCAGGTTGTACTGGTTACATGTTACCAGTAGCAGGATAACCTGACATTATTTTTATTATTTTTTATTATTATTATGATTATTTTATTATTTTTATTATTATTGTTATTATTTTTATTATTTTTATTGTTATAGTTATTATTATTATTATTATTTTTTAATATTTGCAATTAAGAAATTTTCCTTTTTTTAAGAAGTTTTTTTTACAATTAAAATATATAGATTAAGACTAACTAAATAAAAAATTATTACATTGCGTGATAAAATGTTTAATTTAATCACTGATGTTGAAAATTCTATTGATAATTAAATAACTGTGCAAATGCTAACTATGTCATGATGAATCATCATCATCATCATCACTTGGTTATGTGATTAACTGTGAGCTCATTCCCTTGAAAAAATTGATGAGAAGCTGTATCTCAAGGTGATTCATGTTCCATAACAGTTAATGCAATTATTAACAAAGAAGGAATCCAAGCAACAAAATTGATTTTTGCATTAGAAACTAATGTTAATTTGTACAACATATCATACTTGTGTGTATGATAATAAGTGTCATACATGTGTGTATGATAATAAGTGTCATACATGTGTGTGTGATAATAAGTGTCATACATGTTTGTATGATAATAAAAGTTATAAAATTATGTGCAATGTTTATACATGTGTGTATTTTAAAGTTTTAAATTTACTGCCCACAATTTTTTAATTAATTTATTAATATTGAAATTTCTTTTAATATAATAATAAAAATGAAATTTACAATAATATTAAAACACATACCTTTTAAACATTTAATTTTTGTTGCTCTTCGTTGTACTATTTTATTGATGCCTTTTTTATAATAATAATATAAAGTTATTATTATAATAATATCTTTTTTATATAATAAGGGTTCTAAATTGGTGAAGCTAGTTTCTAATAGGGATGAAATAATGAACATTACATAATTTTGCCATTTTATATCATTAGATATTAGAAAACCTAAACATTTTTCCAAAGATATTTTTAGCATAGTGTAATTATTTTTATTGTCTGAGTCTAAAGTTTAGGTCCCAAGAAGAACTCTTTGAGTTCTATTACTCAGCTTTAAACCACCAAAAAACTATGTAGAACTCAGATATGCTTTAAACTCATTAAAACTTCATTTTCACTATATGCTTGTAACTTTGTTAACAATTATTTGTGTATTACTGTATCAAAAGCTTTAGTAAAGTCTAAAAAAGTTATAACTTATTTATCTATTGAAAAAGCTGAATAATAAAATTTAAAGACTAAAAAAGTTTTTTATTCTGAAATAAAAACCATGGTTACAATAATTAAATTAAATGAAACAGTTGATGATAAGTTTAATGTAACAGTTTTATTGAAACAGTTTTAATGAAACAGTTTTAATGAAACAGTTTTAATGATAAGTTTAATGAAACAGTTTTATTGATAAGTTTAATGAAACAGTTTTATTGATAAGTTTAATGAAACAGTTTTATTGATAAGTTTAATGAAACAGATTTATTGATAAGTTTAATGAAACAGTTTTATTGATAAGTTTAATGAAACAGTTTTATTGAAACAGTTTTAATGAAACAGTTATAAAATTATATATAAAATTATAACAAAAAGACATTTTATTCAATATTTTTCATCTTGAATCTGCATAAGCTCTTTGCTGACAAATTTCAACTCAACTTACTGCTGAGGTAATAAAACAAATGTACTTTTCTTTGCATTGTAAAGAAAAGTGCAATTTTGAGTGATTTCAAAAGAGAAGGTAGAGTTATCTTGCAAGCTTGCACATATCTTTCTAATCCAGAATGTCTTTCCAATCTTGAATGCTTGTCATTCAAGAGTATAGAGCTTTCAAAGAGTTTTCAATATGCTTTCAAAGTATGTTCTTCAAAAGACTGCCAAAATTTTGCTGTCTATGTTTTTCTTAATAAATAGAGATTATTTGAAGCAATTTAACATTTAACCAAAAAATTTTTTAAAGAAATGTTGGTTTATGAAGGAACTAAAAAAAGAACGGCAAAACTTGAACTTTTGTTCAATGCACTGGAGACCATCCTTCCATAAGGTAAGTTCTTTCTGCTGTTTCCTCATTATCAAAAAATAAATCTCATAACTAACCTTGCGTTTAAAAAAAAATTGAAAATTTAAAAAATGTTCTGGAAGTTCAATTAAAAAGTTCTTTGGATCCATGTAAACAAATTCAGACACATTTTAATTTCACCCTTTTTTTAATTATGAAGAAACTTTGATTAAAATTGGTTGAGTTTTGGTAATTTTTTTTCTGTCAATATTTGCTTGTTGCAATCTTAAATATGCAAAACATTAAGTATTATTTGTAATTATGTTAAAATATATTTTGTATTATGCAATTTTAATGTTCCGTAGACTTAATTGGTCTTTGCAATTTTGCAATTTTGCAATTTTGCAAAATGCAATTTTTGCTTGATTTTTGTGCTTGAAGTCATTAGAGACTTAAATGAATTAAATGGTTTTTTTTTGTTGTCGATTCAAGTTCTAGTGACTTTGCTGTTAGTGTAGTCCTCATTAATTGAGTAAACCCAAGGAAACGCTGTATTTGTTGATGTGCATTTCCATGGTTTTCTTTCTTTGCTTTTTTTCCATGCGTTAAATAGATTTTAACTTTTAGTATGCTACTGTTTTTATATCTTTAAGCTCTAATATTCTTTCAAAAGTAATCATGATTCAATGAGAACTACATACACAAGTAAAGGTTTTCAAGAGAAAAAATATAATTTCTAAACAAATAAAGGTTATATCAGTTTATATATCTTTATTTTCTGTTATAAACATTTTTCTGTTCAAAATAAATCACATCAAAAATTTGTCTTTAAGCAGCTGCTACACATTACATCTGTCATAAACTGAATCTGTCACATATTGCAGCTGTCAATGTTGAACATGTCACATTTTTACTTTAGGTCTAGTTTTTACTTAGTTAATAAAAAGTTAATAAAGTCTTGAACAGTCATATATGTGTGTGTCGCATCATATATGTGTGTGTCACATCATATATGTGTGTGTCACATCATATATGTGTATGTCACATCATATATGTGTGTGTCACATCATATATGTGTGTGTCACTTTATTATGTGACCAATTTTCTGACTAAAAAAGAAGCAAAAATATCTCTCTTTTTTAATCAAATAATTTAAAATTCAAAAAAAAAAAAAAAAATGAAAGGGAGAGAGAGAGGTAAATTAATCATTTGAAAAATTTTCATAATTGAAATTTAATTTAAGTGCTCTTTTTAAATTTTTAATAAAATCATGCTAAAATGGTTTTTTGATCGTTGTTTCTTACTAAATGATGGTCCTTTTTTGATAGTTGTTACTTATTAAATGTGATGATTGTAAACTCATTTACTTAGGTTTTATGTTTTATTTTTATGTTTAATTTTAATTTATTTTCTTCAAAAATATGTTTTTAAAGTAATTAGTGTATTTACAAAAATCATCAACACCATTTTTGTCAATGTCATCAACATATTTTTCAAGAATTTTTTTAATAATATTTATATTATAAAAAAAATACTATATTTTATTTTTATAACATAGTAAAACTCAATTTGTTTTATAACTTTTTGAAATAAAATGTATAGATACAGTGGGGGGCAAAAAAAAAGCCACACTCAATTTTTTTATAAAAACAACAACAACAAATGTCTAAAACTCATATAATGTTACTTCTATTACAGCCAATATTGATAAAAATGTTTATAGTATAATTGAATATTACATATAATAAAAAGAAATTAGGATTTGTAAAGTATTTTTTTAGGTTAAAGCTGTTTTAGTATTTAATTGGCCATCCTTTGTTTCTTATGATTTCTGCACATCTAGAAGGCATACTATCTACAAATCTTTTTAATAAGTCATTTGGCAAAGCATTCCAAACATCAAGAAGAATTTTGAACAGATCATCTTTATTTGTTGCCTTTCGATCTTGCAATTTGTTATCCAGAATAGACCAAATGCTTCCTATTGGATTTAAATCAGGAGACTGTGCTGGCCAAGACATAACTGGAATCAATTTAGATTCTAGATATCTTTTATTCAACCGTGTTGTATGTTTGGGATCATTATCCTGTTGAAAGATATAGTCACCATTAGGAAAAAGTTCTTTTATACTTGGTCCAAGCTGGTTAACTAAGATTTTGTGATACAAATGCTGGTCCATAATGCCCTTCACCCGGTAAAGTTTTCCAACTTTGTGTGCACTAAAACAACCCCAGATACTAATCTTTTTGTCATGTTTAATAGTTGCCTTGCACGTTTGAGGATTGAATTTTTCCCCAATTAATTTCCAACAGTGAGATCAACCATTATAATACAATACAAATGGAGACTCATCGCTCCAAATAACGTTAGCCCATTGTTCACATTTCCAATCTTTGTGCTCAATGCACCACTTTACACGCTTTTTTCGATTGATTTCACTAACAAAAGGTTTTTTAATTTGCTTTCCAGAAAAAAAATCACTTGATGCTTTAATCCTGCAAGATATTGTCCACTTTGAGATATTAGTAAGGTTCAAATCTAGTTTTATCTCAGAACGAGTGATTTTACGATTTTTTTTGACAGCATTAAGAATGTAGCGATCTTCCTTTTTTGAAGTTTTTGGTTTTCTCCCAGATCCATCAGCCCTTTCAGTTTTACCAGTGTGTTTGTATTTCTTTACCAATCTACTAGTAGTTGAGTTTTCTCGTTTTCTTGTTTTCTCGCTTCCCAATGCTTCTGTGAGACTCTCCTTGGTCAGCAGCTTCAATAATTCGTCCAATTTCTACATCTGTAAGATGTTTTCTAAAATATTAAATGTGTCCATAATAATCTCTTTTTTAAAGATTTTATTTATATAAATATTAGTTTATATATAAACATACCTTTTCTGCCCTATATTTTTCACTGGCAAATCCAATTTTTTTTGTTTTGCATTATTACACATTTTAAGCTTAAAATATAAAAAAAAAATTAGTGTGGCTTTTTTTTTGCACCCCACTGTATTTTTATACTTTTGAGTCTCTTCTCAGCTCTATAACTCCAAATCAAGATTCTTCTGATGAAGATTGAACCTTGTTCCTATTGGTGAGAATACTTACCTCCAACATTTTCTCAACTCTATAACTTTGGAACTATAGCTTTTGTAAACAAACATTTAACTTTTAACAACTTTTGTAAACAAACTTTTAACTTTTAACAGCTTTTGTAAACAGACTTTCAACTTTTAACAACTTTTGTATGTAAACAAACTTTAGATTTTTACACTATGAAAAGTGGTTTTAAACTGCTTGCTAATTTTTTCTGGACGTTATTAAAATTTTTATATAAAAATTATTTTAGTAAAACTAATATTTCATAGAACCTACAATGAGTATAGGCGTTGGAACCACCAGTTTACCTGTACTTCATGGTGTTAAATCAGGTTTTAGCAAAATTCATGGAGCAGCATGTGTCAAAGGTCATCCTACTCCTATAATGAATTATTCGCTTCTTCCAGTTGGTTATGAATCTGCAATTAATTCTACCAATGAAATTTTGGAGTATTTACGCAATGTTGAATTTGGATTTTCAAGTGAATACATTTTTATTGCAAGCCAACTGTTTCTTTTTCAACTTATGCCAGAACGGTTAACTATAGTTTATTTTATATTATTTGTATGCAAATTTTCTTATTAGTCTTTTCTTATTAGGGCAAAATCTATTTTTTTTATTTAGACAACCTCTTTTATGTTATTGTGAAAAAATGTCTAAATGTAATTTTCTATGAATTTTTGAAATTTATCATATTGTTTATGCAACTATAAATTTTTTAAAATGTGAACCAGTGTCTCTGGAATTGATGTGATATTAAAAAAAAAAGATTTTCAGTTTAAAGTAATTGATGCATTATATTAACACTTATACTATAAATAATTAAACAGAATAAATTGTACAAAAATTATTTATCAACACTCATCAAACTTTTTTTCTTGCATTTCATTCCTTATTAGTTTATTCGTTATTCGTTTATTCATTTTTAGACTCATCCGGAAGTTAAAGGACAGGAAAAATAGAAAGAAAATTTTTTACTTATTTATTACCTTGTTCTTTAAAAAAATTGAGTACTCTATTTGTAAATATTTAATTATATATACATATATATATATATATATATATATATATATATATATATATATATATATATATATATATATATATATATATATATATATATATATATATATATATATATATGTTTATAACTTGAAATATGATTTTAACCAATATAAACTGAAAAAATTTTAATTTAGTTTATTTATTATCAAACCAATAAACAAACAAAAAAGAAGTTCCAATAAATCTTAAATTTATATAAAAAGTTAAATATTTGTTTTAAATTTATATTAAGATTTATAATAAAATTAAAGTTAATTTCATAATATAATTGTACAGACTTGTATGATAGTTATATGAAGTTTTTATGGAAGCTTGGCACATTCATTAGCTAATATTGTTGTTATTGATGACTTTTATGCTCATCGTTTCATCATCATTTTATAGCCGCTGGCTATAAAACTCAAAATATTTGTCTTTCTCAATATCTTATTTAGATAGTTAACTATGCGACTCATTTCCCACACAACCTTAATCACTTTTCTTCACTTCTTGATTTGTGTTTTGTCTAACTGTGCTTGTGCACAGTTTCTACTTGGTTTTTTTTAGATAGATATAAGCTAAAACTTCTATGCTGTGCTTCTTTTACATTAGACACACCTTAATTTGCATTTTTTTTTCTACATACCCCTTTTTACTATTGTCTGAAGGTTGACTGGGGTTTCTTGGGCTGTTGTTTTTCATCTCTCATAAATGCGCCTCCTTTATATTATTTACTTTATTCTTGAATTCATTTTTTTATCTTTTCCACAAAAATAACTCTCTAAAGAGCAAACATCTTTTTATCATTTCAAGAAATTGAAATCATTTCGAGACAGAAGTATAAAGTTCAGTCATCAGCAAAAAAAAGTCAGATAGGTAAAAGATTGTAAAAAAGATCATTAATGTAGATAAAAAACATTACAGGACCAAGAAGTTACTGGAAATGAAAAAGAATGTTGGCCTTTGAGGATGACTTTAATACATTGTTTAGATAAATCATGATTTGATAATTTCAAAAACTTTCCCAAATACATTATATGTACCAAGATTATGGAGGCCAAACTTTATTGAAAGCTTAGATATGTCAAGGGTAATAGCCCTTGACATATCTAAGCCCTTGCCTCACTACCTTATCTAATGCATGATAGAATCTTTCAGTCATAGCAGTTAGCAAGTCAGTCCAATAACATTAAAATTATATTGTCAGTACGTTATTAGACTCAAGTTTGGATGTAAGAAATTTGTTGATCAAAGACTCAAAGACCTTGCTAATAACAAAAAGAAGACTGATCGGAGAATAGTTAGACTTGTCAGTATGTTCTCCAGAGTTTTTAAAAATGTTACCACATTGCCATTTTCCAGCAGGCAAGAAAACAATCACTTTTACAAAAGTGTTCTTAAGAACTCTCTTCATCACTCTCTTAACTATTTAACAAATGCTGAAGTTTTCCTGTATGCTGAAAAATCTGTGGTTTTTAAAAACCTTTGAGTATGCTTTGACCCCTCTAACGCCCGACTGATTGACTTGTCCTCATTCTTCTCTATTAGTTCCTTACTTTTATTAGCAGAATCTTTGAATTTTAAATCAAAATCGCAGTATTAAAATTTCTATTGAAAATCAATACTCTTCTTTGTTTCCAATAACTTCTGGGGTACTACAAGGTTCCTTTCTTGGTCATGTGTTGTTCTTTATCTATATTAATGATCTTCCTTATTATTTTACATCCAAAGGGGCTTTATTTGCTGATGAAGCAACTATATCAGTCTTGACAAAAAGTTATCTTTTTTTGCTTAGAACAGGCAGCCAGTCTTAAATCTGGTTTCTTGTATGACCCCTTAGAGCTTGAAGTAGTTAGTGAATTTTAACCCAAAGAAAACTCATTTATTTACTGTTGACAATTATCACCGTTTTGTTAATATATTGATGAATGGCATCACTCTTAGTAGTCCTCTACTTTACATCTTGGATTATCATTTACTACTGACCTCTCATGGAAACCATTTATACAATCCATCACAGAGTTTTGCTACGGTTGCCTCTTATTATTGTGCTCACCATTTTCTTACTTGTTTTATTCTATACCTCTATAAATCTCATATTCATCCTTATATGGAGTACTGTTGTCAAATTTGGGCTGGTTTTTCTAATGAGACATTCTCTTTTTAAGACAAGGTCCAAAATTGCAATGAAAAATTCCAATGAAAAATCAATGAAAAAGATACGATGTATATTTTTTTATTATCCATCTTATTATTTTTTCTTTAACACAAATAAAACATTAATAAAAATTAATTAAATAAAAAGAATATGTATTTATTAACCTTTGAAAAAAATCAAAATTAATGCAATCAAATGTTAATATTTTGTTAAGCCATCTTTAGCTGCAATTACATGTTCAATTATATGCAGCATGCAGCTATCAGTACAAGACTGTACTATCTTCTGCATTTGAGGATGATGATTCTACATATAAATGATCATTTCTAAAAGTAGTGTTTTGTTTGTGATTGATTTTTAGCCACTACTTTTTCTTTATCAATTCCCACGCGTTTTCAGTCACACCCGTTTTCAGTCGGGTTTAAATCTGAGCTGTTAGCCAATTCAATAAAGGAATATTTTTCTTTTCCAAAAAAGATTTTACAGACCATGCTGTGCGGCAAGTAGCTCTATTTTGCATAAAAATAAATAGCTCCCCATTTAAAAATCATTTTCTGAGCTGCAGAATCAACTGGTTTTCTAGGACTCCTTTGTATTGATCTTGCCTTACTTTTTACCACGTACAGACTTCCAGTACCTTTGCTGATGATTACTGATCAAATCATCATTTTTATAGGGGGCTTAACAGCCTATAAAAATGAAACTTTTCCCTGTGACAACAATACACAAACAAGACTATAATCCTTAAAATTTCAAATGTTCATAGCTGGAGCAGGCCTGTCAAAAAAAAAGAAGAAAAAAAGAACATTACATATGTCTTTATTTTATATAAAATGATATTCAATGTATCATTTGTGATGAGTCTAGCAATTATATTAAGATGAAATAATACTATCTTATCCATCTCCAGAAGTTCATATCTTTATTGTACCACTGTTTGGCCCACTTCAGACATTTTATTTTCATTGCAGATGTTTGGATTTTCTGGCCAGCAAGTCTTAAAACCTAAATTCTTTAACTTTCTTCAAACATTGTGCACAGAAACATTTACATTAACATCTTGGACTTGCAATTTTATAATTTTTTTTGGTAGCAAATCTGTTTTTCAGGCAAATCTTCTTTTAACATCTTTCTGACCTAAAAAAGGCTTTATGGCGCTTTTTTTTTTTTTTCATTTTGGGTTCAATTCATCCCCTAACAATTTTTGCAGAATATGCTAAAAATATACTAATTATATCAAAAAATATTTTTTGCAGATTCTGTTCAATTCTCCATTGCTTAGTTTTTAAAAATCTTTCCATTTTTTTCCACTTACTTTTAATGTTTTCATAAAAATAACATGTCACTTTTTCAAAAATAATATAAATTATGTGATGTGCTTTTTTATTGTGAGATTAATGAAAGTGTTTTATTGTGAGATTATGAGATTGCTGTGCTTTTCTTACTGGTTGTTTAATTTAAAAATATTTTTTTAAGGTGGTTTGCTATGCTATGTCTTGGGCTTAAAGATAGTTGTCGAGATATTGTTTTGCACTCATTTTCTCAATCTATTTCTATTCCGAACGAAGTAATGACCATTTTTTATAACCATAGTGTTCAAAGTTCAAGCTGTGTTGGCTTTAATATTAGTTTGTGTGAAGCTGTTAAAATGTATATCCCTTATACATCAGACCAAGATTGGTGTTTAGCTTTAACAGGTTTATTTACTCTTATTTGACATATTAAAACTTTGTGTTGCATATTTGAACTGTTTGTTTCATTTTTAAACTGTGTGTTGATAATGTGTGTGTTTTTATTTAGGGATATCTTTAAAAGATTTGGTTTCTGCAACAGCTCAGTGTCTTTTTGCTGATTATAAGCGACAAAAGATTTCTTTAAACTGTACAGATAATAGTTTTAAATTTTATAATTCCGACAAATCAAATAATATTCACAGCAGTGTTCAGCTTAACCTTGATTTATTTTGACTATTTAAAAAAATATTTTTATTATCATAATATTTATATTATTTAAAAGTTCATGTAAAATGATTTAATGTACCTCAAAATGTTATTATTTGTTTTATTTGTTAAAAATTTTATTTAAAACATTTTGTAATTTAAAGTTTAATATTTTAAATTATTTAAAATATATATATATATATATATATATATATATATATATATATATATATATATATATATATATATATATATATATATATATGTATATATATATATATATATATATATATATATATATATATATATATATATATATATATATATATATATATTTATTATTTATATATTATAAATAATGTAAAATTGAATAAAACATAAAGTTTGAATAAAATTGAGGAATAATTTTTTAATGCTGTTTAAAATGATATTTTTTTGTGTTGAGTATTGATCTAAAAAAATCCAAAAGGTTATATCTAAAGTTAAATCGGATTTTGGTTAATAATAAAGTTTTACAAATTTTTAGAATTTTTTTTTATTTTATTTTATTGGGGGTTGGGAGTTGAAATGATAATGTTATGTAAATATCAGATATGGTGAATAAAGCTTCTATTCCCCAGACATTAATATTGTTGTTTTTTGGAGTTAAGGAGTTATAAATGGGTTGTAGTTATTCAAGATTTTAAAAAGTTTTTCAATATTTAGAAAGCATATTGCAATTAATTTATGATTATAACATTTTATCTTGAAAAATTTTTAAATTTATATTTTTGGTTTGAACCTTATCATATGAAAATATTCAAAATGCTTTGAATGTTTTCTCATAAAAAAATACCTTCAACATGTTTTTAAAATTTATTTAGTGGTTTCTTAAAAAATACCTTTAACATGCTTTTAAAATTTATTTAGTGGTTTCTTAAAAAATATCTTTAACATGCTTTTAAAATTTATTTAGTTCTTAATAAATGAGTAGTCAACGAGGAAATGTTGTTAAGAAAAAGGCACCAAAACATAAAAATGAATTTGCATTTAAAAATGATTTACATGATACTACTGGCAAAACAAAAGCAATAAATAACTTGAACGTATCAAATGTTTGTCAGCGTTGCAAAGACTGTATTGAATGGAAAATAAAATATAAAAAATATAAACCATTAACTGTACCAGGTAAATGGTAAGTTTTATATAAAACCTTAATTTTTTTTATCTAAAGCAGGTTTTTTTTTTTTTAATAAATTTTTATTTTAGTGTGAGATGCTTCAACCGCAATGTTAAATTTGCTTACCATATAGTGTGTAGTCAATGTGTCACTGAAAATTCGTGTTGTGCTAAATGTAACAAAAATGCAGATCTTGTTGGAATGTAAGTTATTTTGTTAAAATTTTGAAACAAAAATAATAATTGATTGAACTAATAAATGAAACAATACTTTGTGGATATTTGACAAATGGTTTTTATTAAGCAATAAATATTTTATTAAATTTTTTAAGCTCACTTAGATGTTTAGTCTTTTTACAAGTATATGCATTCCAAAAACTAACGCACCCCAAATTCCACACTGACATGTTTTGTGCTGTAGCCAGGCCTATTTAAACATAATAAATATAAGAATGCAATTTTTTTGTATTTAAATGTTCAAGTAAATGAAAAAAAAAAAAAAAAAAAAACATTGATGTTTTTATAGCATATATTTTATAGTAATTTTTTTTAGCCTTTTCAAAAATTTTCTCTAGTTTTTTAAAGCAATATTTTCAGTAAAAATACTATAAAACTCGCAAATATCAGACTAACTTTGCAAAGTTGACTTTTTATTAAGCTCTTAAATGTCCTTTTCAATAATAATCAAATGATTAAATCTATTATAAGTATTATGTTTGATAATATTGAGCAAAGTTCAACTTAGTAGTGATGTGGTTTTTGGGGTGAAGTTCAACTTAGTAGTGATGTGGTTTTTGGGGATGCATATAAAAGACAACACAACTAGAATAATGTTTATTATAACATGAAATTATAAATTAAGCATTATATTTTAGAAGAATGTTTTAGTTGTACATAAGCTCAATATTCATATATCCATCATTGCTCTCTGAATCACTATCTGCATTTAATAAGCTATCACTATCTGCATTAAATAAGCTATTTTTTCGATTTGTTACTGTTCTTTGCAAAGCTGCTGTAGGAAATATCATTGTAGGTTTTTTTCCATCAACGCGGCATGCTAACTTGCTGCATTGGGATTTCAAAATTTTTTGGGACTTTTTTTAGAAATTTTTGTTCTTTCTTTTCATTTATGTCTTTAACTAACCTCAAAACATTTTTAACCTTCATGGACCCATGCACTTGAGTTATTTTTGTTGAATTGGTTGATTTGTTGTTTTGGCTTTACTTTTTTAATGGTCATAAAACCTTCTCTCTCCTCTATTTGGTATCTCCTCTATTTGGATGCACTTTTCATGTAACTCTTTAATCAAAGTTTGAGTACTTTTTTTTCTCAATTTTTTCTTTCCAATACAGTGCTGATTGATGGTTTGGATGAAACTGATGGCTCTTCAGGAGTCTCCAAACATTTATCTGCTCTATCAAACTTGTCACGAGTTCAATGCTTAAAGCTTCATTAGTTACACCAACTTGTTTTGCAGCTCATCAGAGAGGATTTTGTTGCCCATTTATCCTATATATTGGCTAAAATAAGCATGAATGCTTCTTTTTTTAGTGTATTTGCCTCCGTAAACATTTTGTCTTTTTCTTTTCTATATTCGTGATGAATATTTTTGTTTAACTGGTTTAATAACTGTGTATCTGGAGGAGAAAGAAACATCCATATTTCTTTTGATTGAGAAATATGGATATCATTCCTTCAATCAAAGATGAAGGAATGACCTTCATCAAACTTGATAAACTTCGAACTGTGTCCATCTGATAATAGGACTACAGGTCTTTTAATATTGTTCTCTTTCAAATACTCGTTAAATTTTTTAACAGCAACTAAAAGTGTTAGGCCATCTGATACACCATGTTCTGAAGTGGTTACTAGTAGATGTTTTATGTTGCTGTTTCATTTGGTATCACCATACCAGCTTGTTATACCGACATTTGGTATCATCATACCAGCTTGTTATACTGACATTGCCAAATATCACTTGAAATATACAGACCTCTCCTGGAATTATAAGATATGGTTTTATTAGTAATATTATTTCAGTTTAAGTTAGTTTAAAAAATTACTAAGCAAAACAGTTTCATTACTTTTTTTTTGAATATATAGAGAATCTACATTTTCTTGTAATATTTTTTTAGAAAATGTAGATTACAAGAAAACACATGTTCTACAGCTGGCTATGATGGAGCAATACCAACCATTTTGTAAATATAGAATACTATAATAAAAACAAACCTGAGAATGACACAAAGAGATGAATGCTAACACATTCTCTGTTTTCTTTTCGTATTTTTTTACATTGATCTCCTTTTGCAGCATAGACCAATTCAAAAGAAGTTCCATCAACACTATAATGAATTGAGGAGTTTCATCATTATTAACAATTCTTGTGGTATCAATATTTCTTTTTTGAATCCTTTCCTCAACTTGCTCTGCTTCTGTCATAATTCCAACTGCAATAAGTTCCTCTTCTAGTGCATCTACAATATAATTGATTAAATCAGTTATACCTATTTGCACTTTAAAAGGAGGGTAAGAGCTTTAAAGGAAAACACATTATTATAATACAACAACTTAAGTAAATATGTATTCTCTAGAAACATGAAACATAACATTTTTTCACCAACATACAAACCTAAGTGATTGCGAGCCGTTTTCCCTGTACAATATAAGGCTCTGTTGATTGACACTTGTCTCTGGTGTTTGATTGTTAAACTATCATATTTTGCATCAGATCTTAGCCAAAATGAGCGGCCAAATCTGAAAAAAATAATGCAAACAGATCAAAATATTTTTAAAAAAAGTTTTTTATAGTTTTTGTAAATACAATTTAGCTATACAAGTGCTAAAGATATTGAAAATTAAAGATATTTGTAAACATTGATTTTTTGTAAACATTGATTTTTTAATGTCATTTTTGCAGCAGATGGTAGTGACTGATATTTTGCACCCCCCTTCCTTTAATTTCTTGTTGGTTTAATCTCTTATTTTCAATGTATCTAACATTAATTTGGTCAATTGTGCTTTATTGATAGCCCATAAAAAATAAAAATACCTTGCAAGCATCTATTTTTATTTTTTATGAAGCGTACAATTGAATTATCTTTTTCTTCTAATAATATTGAGCAGTATAGTCTTCTTTTCCTGTCTGTATTTTACCATGCAGGCGTTGATTTTTTGTTTCTTGATCTTTAATCAAGGGGGAAAAGTCCTGATTTAAGAGCAAACTGCCCTCTTACACCCTTCTTTGCACCATGCTACAGCTACCAACTATTTATTTTTTTTGCATTTGTTTGCTTTCTTACAACTACTGCTTCTGCTTTACAATTTGGATAGAAAGACCTTGTTCCAAAATGTAAGGTAAAATTTGTTGTCATTTTTTTGAATATTTTTAATATTTATTCCTGTATAACAAATAAAAATATGTTTACAAGTTATTGCAACAATAATTTAAATCTATAATTCAATAATTTAAAGACAGTTACTGCAACAATAATTTAAATCTATAAATCAATAATTTATAGATTTAAATTATTAACAAGATTAAAGTAGTTAAGTTAATCACCTGTGGTATAGATACAGGTGTATAACAAAAATAAATAATTGTTTTATGCAATTTTAAGATATATTTTTAGATATCAAAAAAATACTAATATTGGTTTTTTGGGTACATATTATGTGGTTTTTGTAGTGAAAAACATACTAACAAAAAAGTCTACACTCACATATACAATCCACTCAAAATATCATAAAACTAAAGCTTAAATTTATTTAGATCATGTTTTATAAGCATTTTTCAAGTACCTGACTAGCCAACTAAATTCATAAAAAAACAGACTATAACTTAAAAATCACCTTTTTGGGGGTTTTTATTTTTAAATTTATTTGCCTTTTCACTTCACCGGTTTCACTTCACTTCTCAAAATAAATATCATTTACAAGTGTAAAAGGTTTCTAAAAGCGGGGGTCCATGAATTTTCTAGTATATATATATATATATATATATATATATATATATATATATATATATATATATATATATATATATATATATATATATATATATATATATATATATATATATATATATATAGTTTGTATAGCAGCATTGAAGCAGCCTCGGAAAATGATGTGCTATGGTAACTGTTTTAGATGTCAGTCTAAATTAGTTTTGAACTTTTTCACTGAGGTAGTATTTACTACATTGTCTGGCAAAGCATTCCATGCGTTTGCTACACGGTTGTTAAAAAAGTTATATTGGACAGTTTTTGTTAATTTCATGATGGTACCGGATGCGAAAGCCATAGCTGGGGGGAATGTTAATTGGATTAATAAACCAGGTAATTAACTCGATTTTGTTCTCTAATTTAAATTTTTGAATAAGGTCTAATTTTTTTCTTCATTCACATAGAGAAGTGAGACAAAGTTTGATACATCTTGATTTATAATCAAAAGGCTTTATTTTTTGTGGTACGCTTGTAACACGCCATTGAACGCTTTCAATTAAAGAAATATCCTTTTCTAAATAAAGACACCAAGCGGTAATAAAAAAATTCTAAAAATGGACTTATATGTTGTATATATCAGGCTTAATCGGGAAGCTGGTGCAATCACACTCGATAATTGACCACGGAAATAATATTTAGTTGCGAAAAACCAGCCAGATATTTTGTTGTTTTGAGAACATTTCAAAAACAAACAAAAAAGCGAAATAAGATTAACTGGACCGATGACAGACAGCGGCCCCCAGCCCTGAAAAGTCCAACAAGATTCAACCAATAAAACTAACGCTAGATAATTTATTTATAAATAAAAAAGTTTTTTCAATAACTATTTTATGCTTTGTGTAGTTTGAAAAGTTTAACACATTTGAAAGAATTCTTCTTAGTAAGATAAACAAATGAAATTATTAAATCATTGAGTTACTGTAGAAATTCAATTAGCAGATAGAAATTAACTAAAATAGTTAAATTACTTTGTGAGGAGGAAGTGGAACTGCTTCACAATACTGCCGATGATGTTTAGTGAGTGGGCTTTGTATTTTTAATTAGTATTTAAAACAGAAAAAAGTAACTTTAAGTTTAAGTATAACAAGTTTGTAAGAATGGCTGAAGCAAAAATAATTGAAGTTAGTTAAACCATTTTCTAAGAACTTAAAAACTTTTCTTTCTTGGGGGAAAGAATCAGTTATCAGGTACACTGA